AGACATAATAATAGAGGGGAACCGGAGGATAAAGGGGACGGATAACGAGTTAGAACAAGAAAATTATGTGTCCTGCTATGCCTACCGCCTAGGTAGTAGGCTGTTTCTGCCGAACTGCCCACCACCAAACCCTTGACTCACACTGTTCTTGACGATGAGAGCAGCAGCCGCTGTGGCAGCCGCCCTCTCCTTCTGCCTGTGACGCTCCTTGAGGTACCCGGCCGCTTCTGGGCGCATGCGGAGAATGCGCAGGATCATATCATCGCTTGGATCCGCCTGGGCCTCCCGTCTCTTTGCCTCCTTCGCCTTCCGCATCGTTCCCAGGTTGCGGCTCATCATGACACTCTTTCCGCGACGGATGGTGCCCATGCTGGCAAACGCTCCAGCGCCTCCCACTGATGCTCCGAGTGCGGAGGGTGGTGCTAGACGGTTCGACGGACCCTGCTGTAGAAGAGCCTGTTGAGCGCGCTGGGCGGTCGCGGCTGCCATGCGTTCCGACTCGCGGATCAGACTGGGGGTGCTTTCGAAATAAAAGAAGTTCAACGACGCTAATTCGTGCCACTTAGGCGACTTGAGGACCTCGGCGGGAACTCCCAGTTGCTCGCCTGACTCCTCATCTTTGGAGTTGAAGAACTTGAAGAGTATGTCGAGCCAGCGATACACTATGTCGAGCTCCTGCCGTGTCAGCGGCTTCTCGGTGGAAGGCTTCTCTGATAGTGGGGGAACAAGGAGAGATTCGACAGCCATCAGTGTTTCCTTCCAAAGACGTTGCATGACCGCAAGCATGGTTGCATCTGTCAGCGTCTGTTTCATGATAGCAAAGTTGTCATTGAAATAGTCCAAGAGCGGCTCCAGCACGGCATCAACTTGGGTTGGTTGAAGTGCCGTGACAGTTGAGGAACGTTTCCTCCAGAGGCCGGTCACTGAGGCTGCGATACCGTTTGTGCCGAGAAGGGCACGCAAGGTATTGTGAGATAGAGTTAAACCTATCTGTGCAGTCATCTGTTCACGCGGTTTTAGTAATTGCGATAGAGTAAGATTAGTTGATGCGGATGGGGGGCTGACCTTGTCTGTGATTTTTCTGACCATGTCCCTTTCGGTTCGCTTCAGATGTCTAAACGCCTTGCCAAAGTGGAACTGAATGTCGTCACGTTCTCCCTCCATACTCACTCGGATGAGCAGACGGCCCTGCGAGTCAAGGTCCAGCCAGAACTCTCTGGGGAGATAATCGCTGAAGTGGACAGGGTCGAGCTTGATAGACGTTCTGCCGACGTAGTCGTGGTCACCGAATGTGTCGTAATCCCAGATTGTTGCAATTACGTTTACCGGCCCTTGCACAGTGACATCGAATGATTCGTCCCAGCGTGGGTTGAGATTCGAGGGAATGATGCGAGTCTTGTAAAGGCGCTTTTGATACTCGTCTCCGAATACGACATAGGGGTCACTATACCCATTCGCATCGCAAGCCTTGAGATCTTCTGCCTCTATGACCTTGATAGTAAACGTGTACTTGCTTGATTTCTTCGGTTTTTCCACCTTCCCGATTAGGGCCGCACAAGCATCGACATTCATCGTCTTTTCTAGCTTATCCAACTCTTGCATTGCATACTCGATGTTATTGAGTTTGACAAAGGACTATATTGGAGCAAGAGAGGGGAAGTCAGCATGAAATCAACCCTGTCGTAGCTATGGAAGGGTTTGCAGTTAGTGTATGGCGTTCCCTCACTCACCTCGGGGTAGAACTGGAAGGGCTCGGCCTTTTCCTTGTTGTTCCAGGCATCCTTGGCATACTGCATCCATTTCTCCTGGGTGGACTTGGTCTGGGCAGCCAGCTCCTCAGCGGAGGGACGATCCATCTCATGATTGAATCGCTGATCCACGATCTCGCAGTACCTACCAAGTCCGGCAGAGAATGCCTTTCCGAGAGCAGTCATGAACCTGGCGTGATCCTCGTCATTGCCCCAGTCCAAAGACAAAATTTGGTTAAGACTTTGGTTGAAGAGCATGAAAAGATCAATGATTGAAACACTGTGTCGTTCTGAATCATCTGGGATGTTGTCTGGGTGCTCGGTACGGACCTGGAACTGGTCCTGTTTGATGGCTTCTTCAACAAAAGTCTCTACTTTTGATTCTGCGTTGTCGATCCAGCGCCATACAAAGCCAACGAGCAGATACTCAATGTCAAAGGCAAAGGGCTGGTCGGGGGTGAGTGATTCGCGGTGGATGTTTCGAAGCTCTACCAGTTCCTTGTACAGCTCAAAGCCGTCTTCCATTCCGATCTCTAAGCCCTCGTCGTGGACCTGCTGCATAATGGAAATGATGATAGCGTTGGCATCTTCTTCAAAACTGGGGAACACTTCCTGGACCAAGATAGCGAGGGAGTTAACACCCATAATTTCGGGCATCTTTCTATATCGCTTTCTTATCCTCTCGCAGAGTTTGGTGACCGTCTTGCCTAACTTCACAACATGGGCAAAGTCCCAGTTCTCCTTTTGCGCTGGGAGCTCCTTCTCCATATATTCACGATAGACATCCATTGCTCTCTGGCGGAGGGTTTGGGTGAGCTGCTCAGCAAATTTCTGCTCAGACTCTGGGTTGGGGCTAAATGAGGGGTCGCTAGCTAGATGGTTCTCAAGAATGAACATGACGGGGCCGATGTTAGGGGCCTTTGTGTCGTAGCATCTTTCTAGAAGGTTATATAGCTCGGTTAGGAGAGACTCATAGACCGTGTGCAAAGTACGGCGGTAGGCAGCGAGGTCTTGAAGTGTCCATCGGCTGGGGTCGATTTCTGACAACGGAGTCGAATGGTGATGGAGATGAGGCACCTTCTTTGGCTCTGGCTGGGGACCCTTGATGAAATCAAAAACAGCATCCAACTCCTCAGCGCCAAGCTCCTGCTCCCGGTATTTGCGCACAGCTACTTCCAAAAGGGCAATCAGGCGAGAAGACTGCGGGATACGCCATCTTACACACAACTCAGTCAAAAGTTCTATGGATTGTTTCGACAGTGGTTGATAGTCTGCCTCGGGGTCTGCGTGGAGTACGTCAAAGGACATGGCCTGCTGTAGAATATACTTGAAGAAGGCTCTTGGATTAGGTGGGATGAAGGTGTAAAAAGCATCATCCACGGTCCGAATGCTAGTAGAGTCCCCGATGTTTAGAGACGCGAGGCTCATGGCGGAGTCATCATGGGAGGAATCGTGGGAATGATCGATTCCATATACGGATTGTGGCCGGCCAGACACCGGGGCAGTCGAGGTCTTGGCCAAAGTGGGCTTAGCAGTCAGAATATCCAACATCATTTGGGATAGATGGGGGGCCTCTGACTTCTTCCACTCATCATAAGATTCGTCGAGATCGAAATCCTGGGGAGAAAGAGTGCCGCCAAGATTGGAACTCAACCGCAGCTGGTAGGCTTTTAGATCCTTCAAAGCCGCTTCCTCGGTCCATACCTTGCGGCTCGCATCGATTTCGGCCTGTGCCTGGGACATGCCGAGCCCGAACATATGGGCAACCACTTGCACAAGGTGCATATCCTTGACATTATAACTCAAGGGAACGACGACTTCGACAGTGGTGCCACCGCCATCCGAACCACCGCCCACCAGATCCTGGTCATTCGTCAACAGCTTATTCTCAAGGGTCTTGAGTCTTGTCAAAAGCTCAGGGCGATCGCGATCATGACCTTGATCTTTCAGAACCTGCACAGCCAGTCTAACGAAGAGCGCCAAGTGGCGGTCGGGAAGGAGCTTCCATGAATCGTCGTCGGGTGCGCGCCCCTTCTGTGCTGCTTTGGTAGCTTGGGAGTAGAAGATGAGCACCAAGGGCTCAAACTTTCTCTCCTTATCAATCGTCTTGCGGAAGTTCTTTTCTGAAAATGCCATATAAGCCTCGGCGAAACTCCTCTTGACTGCCGCATCGTTGAAGCCGGGTAAGCGTTCGCTCCCTCGAAGGACACCGCCCACCCTTTCGATTAGAGGACTTGCAAAGCTATGAGGCAACTTCAAGCTAGACGCACTCCCAGAACCATACTCTTGGACAAGCTGCCCAACACTTGTTTGCGATCGAGCGGTCGGTTTCGATGCGGCGACATACTGTTTCCTTTTGGCCTTGGGCTGCAACAGGTAATGCAGGTATGCCGATCGCAGGGCGAAACTTCGGGCTTCGTCCTCATCGACAACAGGGCGACTGGCCATGGAACCCGTCCGACGCGACGAACCCGTGCCCCCTCGATTCATGGTTAAACGTTTGTCGGGCGTCGGCGGTGGAGGCTGGTCTGATGACAAGTGGCGGATGCCGTGTGCTCATGCAAGAGGGGAGGTCAGCAGCATGTCCGACAAGAAGGACCGGTGAGGACCGCGCAAGCTGGCCCTTGGTGCAATGTCGAAGAGCGCAGGGTATCGAATTCAACGGGTCGATAGGCGCCCAACAAGGGTGGAATCGTTTGAGGCGTGAGCTTGACACCAGTGAGGGCAAGATGGGAATCGTTGGTGGAGTTGCAGCTGCGCGGTACCTAAGTCCCACCTAATCCCAATCCTACAGCAAACTTGACCATGAGACACAGCTGCGGTCTAGCGCCCGGGATTACCTACGGTGGAGGACGCGCCTAACCTTCTCCTATGGGGACGCACGGACAGCGTCCAGTACCTCAGTACCTTAGTGGTAGGGGCACTAGCAACTAGCGAGTCTGATGTGGGCGACCAGCGCCAAGAACGGGGTCGCAACAACGTCATCCACCACCAGCAACCAAAAGCAACCGCAGCTACGACGTTCACATGTAGAACACCATTTATAGTATCAGCGCGTTCTGTTGTCATGGCTATATGACTCCACTGAGAGGGAGACACGATCCATTGTTAGGAGGCAGATTGGAGTGTGTCGTGGGTGGCCTGTGCTGTGAAGACAATTGATCAATACTACCTGCCTAACCCGCTGCCGCTACGTCTGAGTACCAATGTACGTACCACAACCCGAGCTCTCATAATGTGGTATGCAACCCTTCATAGGGTGCAAGTGCAGTGCAGCAGCCGCATGTTTCTTAGCCTTATCATCAAGGCCAAGACTCTCTGACTGAACAAACTCAGCCAGCCGCTTCCTCCAGAGTTCCCACCGCTCCAACCCCGGGCCCAACTCTGGGTATTCAGGCCGACAAGGTTCAGTTCCATGAACAGAATGTCACCGCAGTTGATAATCCACTCAACCGCTACCCGAAGTCGACAGTCCATGAAGGGATCTCCTCGAAGCCATGCTCCCGTCCACAACTAAACCCGCGGCCAACTAGATGTGGGAAAAAAAAACGGAATTTAATTTCTCTCAAAATGTGAGATCTGCAAGCAAGTTAAAAGCTTCCTCTCGGGGATCTTGGCTGGTATTTAGTGTCAGCTCTCAAGAAGTGAGGTGGTCAATTTCTTACAAAATTGATATATCGAGGCGCAGTGGGCATGGAGCCGAACGGGAGACCGGTCGTCCTGCGAATCATGGAACGTTGTCAGTAATTGCTTGCTTCTTACATCTTTTCCCAGTTCAAAATACCTCGTTTCTTTTCCTAGTAGCTCTCCATTGCCGGTAGATCATATCAAGGGCGATAGTCAGGATTCGAACCCTGTCGTCGCTAGGTGGAAAATAGAAGCAAATGTCATATATGGCCGAAAAGAAGTCACCTAGACTCATACTACATTTAGGCTTAGCATGCCTATAGCCAAGAATATTGTCGGCGATTTTGGCATCTCGTAAATCCCGTATATTTGCAGTTACTGGACGTCGGAGGCCGCCATCAAGCGTGTTCAACACGGCTTCTCGCACGTTTAGCTCAAACTGAAACGCGGCGGCTAGCTGGTGCTTTATTTCTGTACTTATCAGATCAATGAAAGCCAATGCCGGGGTTCTTCTGATCTCATCATGAAACCTACGGCAGGTGATGACTATGCCAGTTCTAGACTGAACTATCTACACCATCTAAGACCAACTTCGGATAGTCATGGCTTATACGACTGGAGATGCGAGCCCGAAGGAATATAATAAGATGGCCGTGTCCATTGACACTCTGTTCTAGGAAAAAGCACTTTGTTGTTTGACCTGACCAAATCCAAGAGCAAGCATTAGTTTCATGTCTGCTCTGCAACTACATCCAAAAGCATGTCAAGTCATGGCGCTCGCACTCCTTGTACAAACGAGTCAGAGCCTACAACCTCCAATGGTCCAAAGGCTTCGGAACGCCCACTGACTGCCTCGTCGGGTGTATGTACTTTTCTATCTTCTTCGGATTCACATCTAACTTGTATAGTCCCTAGTATGACTTTGGCGGGACTCCTAGTGACTTTGGAAACAAGTGCAAACATAGACTTCCTCTCAATACCAAATCCGAATTAGTCCTCGATCCTGTGGGAGGTCAATACACCAAAATCTAGCTTCATCATCCACTGAATCCCAACCGGAAAAAGACCTTCTTTGGCGCAAAGCTTTCCGCTGGCATGATAAGGAGCTTCTTTGTTCCTCGCGACGTTTCGATCTTTGACTCCAGCCATCATATCCGGGGGTCCAACGTGCTTCGCATGGCGAAATACTACCCAGCCACAAGGCAGGATGAAACGAGCAGCATCGTTGACGAGACAGCTAGTGGCAGCAGGTAGTTGACAGCTTGGGGATGTTTGGCAAGCCGATATGCATGAAAGTTGAGTTTTCGGCTGTTATATTGGAGTTTCTGGCGTGCCACGGGCGGCGTGAGCGATGAATGGCACTTAAGGAACAAGCAACAGTTACCAGGTAACCTACTACCTACGTCTACCGGATTTCGACACTCTGAATCTCGAAGAGCGGCGGACAGTCCTTCGGCGGTAGCGTGCTTTCGCGGTATCCATTGCCTTGGATCGTCCCTTTGTGGCAACGATTTCCAGTTGTTCCTTGATAGCATGTTCCAGCGATAATTTCTGCTTCTCCCGTTTGGACGGTGCCCGCATCAACTTCAAGACAGTGGCCATACGCTGTGTAATTTCGTAGTCCCAGTTAGGACTCGCTTCGAGCTCGGCGAGCTGCTTCATCCAAAGTTCCCACTGATGCAAGCTCAGGTCGTCGCTGTCCTCCGAATCGGTCATTGCCTCCAAGAAAAGGTCGCCGCAATTTGTTATCCACTCCAAGGCTACCTCCATTCGGTAGCGCATTAAGATAGGAGACCCTTTTACCACAGGCTGTTCCAATGCTCTCCGGACCTCTGAGAGGCCCAGGTATAGGCCATCGTCATATCCACGGCCCACAAGATGTGAGAGAAATGAATTTATTTTCTCCCAGCCGATGAGATCTAGCTGTGAGTCTCCATCGTCTTCTTTTCTGGGAACTTGGTTGGCATTAGTCCCAGGTCATTAGTAAGGAGTGAACGCTTTCTTACATTTGTCCCAAATCTCGGCAAAGCGGACGGGTAATTTAGACGGGCCCCATCGATCCTATGAACAACAGCATCTCGTTAGCATCGTGCCATATCGTGCGTGTTTTCCTTAGGTAGTTTACCATACATTAACGCTTCCGTCTAGGCGGTAGAACATATCACAAGCGATAGCCAGGATCCGGCAATGGTCGTCGGCAAATGAATGAAAAGTTATCAAGCCTTGGCAGACATCCATTGCGGCGGAGAAGAATTCCTCCATGTCTAAGTCAAGCTCAGGATGAATGGACTTGCATCTGAGCAGAACATTGTAAGCAATTCTCGCGTGATGTAAGTCTAGGTTCCGTGGCTCTACATGAACCTGATAATTCTTTTCGTCGTTGAGCGCGTTGAGCATGGCTATCCGAAGGACTTCATCGTCGTCTGTGTCGTACGTGTCGTCCGAGTCGTCCGAGTCGTCCATGTCGTCCATGTCGTACGTGTCGTCCGTGTCGTACGTGTCGCACGTGTCGTCCGTGTTGTCCATATCGTTGTCCATATCGTCAATAATTTTCAGTTTTCGGCAAAGAATAAGCAGAGGGAAATGTTAAGAGTTGAAGAGAGTAGATTGGATCTTGACTCACAGAGAAAAGAGTTGGATTTTGATTTACGCGAGAGTATTGGACTCTATATACTCCCGTGGAATGATTGATATGCTAGTCGGAGAGAGCAAGACGATATGAAAGTGCAAGCGAGAGCTTTTTTTGGAAGCTTCATTGTCCATGGACGGAACTTCACAATTAACAACGCAAAATCGCATCTAGCTAATACCTGTAAATTGAAAAGACAATACATAAGAGAGAATGATCCTTCATTAAAGGTTTAACATGGGCTATGCGTTGTGTTAGGTCGCTTTGAGACTGAGATTCAGGCTCGTCACTGTCAAAAGCCGCCATTGTTTTTTGTTTTTCTTTGTTTTTTCCCCTCCTTCTCTCTATTTCTTTCCTTATCCCACTTTCTCCCTTTTCTTTGAAGGAGGGAGACCAGGGTTCGTATTTCTTAGAAGTAGCGGCACAAAGGAAGCTCTCAATCTGTTATGAAGTCTCTATAGAACGCGTGCTGCCTTAATTTCGGATTAGTTCCTGGTGGGAAGCGCCGATGAATCTTCCTTGTTGAAACTAGCTTATCAAAGATTGCAACAAGTAAGCTGGTGAAGAGGCTGCAACATCTTTGCAGGCCTCTTTCTCTCTGGATGGTTTTGACCTATGGATTTGTCTGCCGGCGATGCGCACAGATCGTTTAGTGGTTTTGAGTCACTCAGACAAGCACCCTGAGGCGAACAATGAGTTCGTGGCTGGCTAGTGGGCCATTGTCATGATACCGTTTTCTTTTCTTTTGCCATTCCCAGCAAGCCACAAAGCCACTCCTGCGACAGCGACCACCCCCTGTTGGCTGAGCTTGTCAAAGCTTAGTCCTCCGCTCAGCCTAGTTGACCGGGGAGTTCGTGGTCAGGGTTCCGGGTATGAAGTCTCAACGGGGTGCATAAATGGGTAGGCAGGTGTGGAGGGCAGGTGCACACTCACCGGATTCTAGTAGTAGCAACTGTCTTCCAGAAAGTTCCTGATAGCGCCTCAATCAATGATTTCTTGCTTTTGTTCTTTCCCCTTGGTACTAGTTTCGATATCGGATCTGTAATGAAGGCGGGCCCGTTCACAGTGACATTGCCGTGCCTAATGAGGGAGACGCGCAGACTGGCGAGACTTTGTACACATCTCACAGCTCAGGCACAACATTTAGCTTACTAGGATGTGATAAGAATGTTAATAACTATGCAGCAAACATTTGATAGCCCACCAACTGTTAGGTGCCGCCGAAGCACTCTGCCTAGGCCAACTTCATCATCAGTTAGATTTATGCCATGAGATCGAAATCACAAAGCATTCGCAGGTTTCTTCAAGTACCGTTTGAATCTTATAAATAATTTGAGGGTACATTTGGGGGATCCAGCCTCAGCACCTCAGCCGCACGGCAGACGACGTGCTCAGTCAACAGCTCGTCCTGTCTACTCTGCATAGCAGGAACTATGTTGTACGCCTGAGGCTCTTGAACACAAATATATGACGACTCTAGGCGTTACGATAAGCTCATACCACAGCCCAATACCGTTGGCCCGCCCGTCAGGCTAGGATCTCGCCGACGGCACCCAGATGCTTTGGCTGGTTTGGCTGGCCCAACAGCTAGCCTAGGGGTAAGACTGAAACGTAGCGGTTGTCTACTTCCTTCGTCATGCGTTTGTCGGGTCGATGAAGACCAATCGTAAGATTCTTTGATACTAGCCTGGAACACATGGCTGATGATGGCAGCGTCGGCTGTATCATGTATTTGTCTACCTCTTATTAGAGCGCCTCATGGTGTTTAACTGGGATTCTACAACGAGAGATCAGCCCTCTGGCCTCTGGGAATATAATATGCTTCGTATTGCCCTCAATACTCTATTCCAGGCAGAAGCTCTTCTCTTTTGCCTAACCAAACCCACCAGCAAGTGCCATCTATAGATCTGTTCTACGATATCTTCATGGCCAATCCAGATACTCCCACTTTGGATACGGATGATGCTGAATCGACGGCTCCCGAAAGTACGTTGAGTCTGAAGCGTTCGCCTACGGCTTCCTCATATGTACGTTCATTACCGTCTTCTTCAATTCCAAGTCTAATTAGGTAAACATTAGTACGACTTTGACCAAATGCCCTGGGACGGTGAACAGGGCCAAAGTTGGATGTATGCTAGGCATGCTCGGGCCCAGCAAAGGGGGTTACGCCTCTCCCGTTTTCGATTTGTCGTCCGCAGAGCGACCAAGACTTTCTCTCGCCGTAAATACCCCAGTTATTTCGGTAACATTGAGAAGCTTCCGTTGAACACCAAACCAGGCCTTATCTTCAACCGGAAAAAGAAGATATACACTATCGGCTGGCTTCACCATCCTTTGATACCCGGCCATACCACAACCTTCTCTGGCAACAAGCGCAAGTACAAGCCCAATCCCGGGATGGTCAGAAGTTTCTATGCCCCCAAGAATCCTGTAATCTTCGATGTTGCCTACCATACAAAAGAAAATGGAGAGTCCAAGAATGGAGAGTTTAAAATGGCGACATACCACCCAGCTGTCAAGCAGGTGAACGAAATAGGGGTGGTTGCGGGAAATTCCGATGAAAGTTAGTTGGATTATTGACGGCGTTTGGAAATTGAATAGATGTCGTTGAGATTTTAGTTGACATTGGTTGGGTATTTCCTGGTACTATGCAATAAAAGTCGGGTTTGGTTTGTGTGAGCGCGGTGTGAGTATTTTGTTTATTATACTGGAGAATCCCTTTGAGTCACAGAAGGGCAGAGTAAAGTAGCAAGAAGTCTCGTTTAAATCTTGCCAGTATTTGGGTCTTGAGTCTGGTGTTTTCTTTTGTGCTGGCTTTGGTCAGATACAGAACCTTTCTTTGGCGTGGAAATGTGTTATGCAACCCACCATGGATAGACTGGTCTCAGGTTTCCCTGGTTTGTGACAAAAAGTAACAAACCATAGAACTCCGTATGATACCGTTTCGTGGAATGAGGCCCTGTTCCAAGCTGGGCGCAACCCTCTCCGCAAGCGAGATACCGTAGACATCGATACAGCCGAGCATCATTCTACTACAGGTCTTCTCTTGGTTAATTTCTCTTTGCTCATCCATCTAGACTATCTGGTCTTTATCTTTCTTCAATATCTTTCTTAGTTCTAGTTACATATTAAGATGCAATGGCGATTTGTATGAGAACTTCTTCTTTGTTCCCCCCTTTAGCTTCTACCTCTTTGAAAATTCTATTCTATTCATTCAGTTGTTGTTAGGATCTTCTATATTTTTAGGAACTTCTACAGAATATCAGCCTTGAATCAGCACAGCCCTAGGTTAGAAGTCAATGACGAGATGCTTCCTTTGTTCCAGCTTGTGAGCTCTCTCTCATTGTAACGAGGGAGTTTAGAGCTCGATCCGGCTTGCCCGTATCTTGGCAAATCAATTCGTGAAATTTGTGGGTGGCTGATTCAGCCGTCTCTCGCCGCACACGGCGAGATCTGCATACTGTACCGAGCCCGGCGCCTCTTACGGCCATAGCCTGTGATCGAAGCTTTCCCTCGTTGTTACCGACTTACATTTATCGCCTGCTGTGCACGTTTCTATTTATGCACTGACAAAGAAGCCGCTGGTAGAGATGGAAGAAAAAGCACAGTCCTCTTTATCTCCAGTGCTCTGGATGCAATGGTCTGTTACATGAGATGATGCTCTAGCTGTTTTTGTGTGCCAGCCGAACCATGACCCCCACCCAAAATCTCCAAGTTCCCCGCCTTTTGTTGGGAAGATTCATTGCGATCAAAGTGTCTGCTTTGTATGCGTGCGCATGTGGCTCCATGCCAAATAGCACCGCATTGTTTCCAGGCTGAGCATGAACACCAAAGCCACGGGCGACAGCAGGGATCGGCATTGCTGGCTTAATCGCGCGGAAGATTTGTCTAAGAAGGAAGGGCAGCATCGCCAAACCAACCTACCTACATACCCCGCTTGTTCTAATTTAGGGGTTCGCCAGAGACCCGTTTCAGGATGCTTCTCAAGGGTTCTGTGGTGTAGTTCATCCACTGCACCATGATGCGTCAACCACCCATCCACTCTCCACCGCAATCTTGTTACAACACACCTATGCATCACCGTACTCCAGTTTCCACCATTAAGCTCATGTCTACAGTATTACTAGGGAGAGATCTGGCCCGTGATTTGGCACTGGCAGTGAAAGGAGCCAGCTTGCGACGACGTCAGGTGCTGCCAGGAAACCAACCAATGTGATGTGCTTGCTGATTGGCTCCCTGTCACTCGTCGGTTTCACAGGCACCCATGAACACATCTGTCGTATGGATGCATTCTGATTGCAATGGCACCTGTCTGCCTGGCAGCTCGTCCAGTGACCTTCCGTGGCACGCCGCAGCTTCTAGCCGGCGGTCTTGTGCCTGCCTGGTGCGGGCGGCTTGGTCCCATGGTTGGCTGGAGATACTTGGGACCGCAGTATCTTGTGGTACCCAAGCAGGTGTCGAATGGGAGCTCCCAGCCCTGGGTCTTCAGCACAGGATCGACTCTCGAGGGGCAGCAAATGGTACGATGGCACATTGACCCCGTTAGGAACGGGCTCACTGGCTCCCTCGCCTCGAACCCATGGTCCACTCGACGCCGGAAATCCAACTTGAACATGTTAGCAGCGACGATCTTGGGATGCTAGCTGCCTGGTTGCCTGGCGCCGAGGCACCGCTTATCTGGGCTACCTACTAACACACCTGCTGTAATGAATGTACAACACCTCCTGCAGTCGGTCGTGCTAGCGCTCCAAGCGCTGGCGGACCCGGACAAGTGGGTGACATTGAAATTGAGACACTCAAACATTAAGCTGCTTAGTTTTCGAGTCTGCAACCAGTATTATCAGATGATTAAGTACTGATAATACAAAGGTACTCAACAGACAGTACGGCATATATTATTATTTTAATTCATTTTATGCTGCTGAATTTCCCTATTCACCGTAGAAAGTCGTCTGTTTGTCTCATTTCTCCTGTCACCCACTTGCCGGAGCAGGCCTGAGGCCCCTGCAGGTGGGCAGCTGTGGGCCAGGTTGCGTTCGCATCAATGCATGTGCCTCGAAACACACACTTTGTTGGTGACAGGTTGGCCTATCTGGCGGTACCTCTGCTTGCGGTACCAGCCTGCGTCGTCCCTCTTGCGCCTTCTACGTAAAACGGCCAAATTTAACAGCGGCATCCTGCACCATCTGCTTCTGGTGGTCAGCACCCCTTGCCGGTTTTCCAATGCACCTTACCACCTTGAGGTAACCCAAGCTCGAAAGTCCCGTTGTCTCGTATCTTGGTCGTCGCGAATTGTCCAGCCACCACCACCACGACCGCTGCCAGTCACCTCCTCTCCATTCATCCTCCAGCCAGCCGGTTGCAGTAACCGTCCCATTTATTCGTATCCGACTCATCAACAGGATAGCTGACCCGGTCGCGTCCGCCTGCATATTAATATTCTCAGATCAAACCGACCTTCAGACCCCAGACCTGTCAAGTAGACGCAGCTCTATGGTGGCGCACCTCGGCCAGTTCCTTCGCTTGATGTCGGCGCCATATGCTCATCTTGAGCCCCGCGAACTCACCCAACTCAATATCTTGGCCCGCCGCCATCACCACCACCTCTCTTGCAGCAGCTCCCGAATCCACCTCGCCCTCGACCTGCGGCTCTCCTCGCAATGGGGAACGTGAGCAGTCGGCCCAATGATGGGGCCGCTCTTTTCTTGAAGGATCAAAACCGCCGTGCGTCCTCCCAGCAGCCGCGCAGCGCCTTGTACCTAACCTGCTAACTTCCGATCGCAGTCACCATATCTTCTCTCGTCATCACGAACCCTCGCAAGCGATCCTCTGTACAGATAAACCCGAATGAGTTCCCCGCGACTCTGCTCTCCGCTACCAGAGTATCGGGCGATACAAGCCCAGTAGAATTCATCCAAGTCCGTCTTGTCTACCAACGCAGCCCGCGAAACTTCCGCTAACCAGGCTACACTACAGGATCCCGAACCGAGTGCACTTGGCGTCCCAAGCTTCCTGATCAAACTTAACAATGATGATGAACTCATTTTCACATTCACATTCGTCATGCGCCAACCGCAAGCGCCGCCGCCTGGCACTGCCACTCAAGACCCTCAGCCCCAACCGGTTGAGTCAAGTATCACCGGTCTCACTTACGTCTATGCATCCACCACCCGCGAGGTCGAGAACCTTGTCACACGGGAGTTTCATGCCGATCCCAACCTACACAAGAACGCCAATGTGGAACTTGTTGGCGACTATTCTACGAGTGGACTCCCGGCAGTAACATTTGACTGGACATGGAAATGGAAGCCTCCAAAGACGATGGAGGATAAGGGTGGAGGCTGGAGAAACTCCTGCAGTGTACGATCATTGAATCCCGTTCCTGGCCGCGCTTGTCTGGCTACTGACCTTCGGCAGTTTGTCGAGTATGATTCTAGAGCGCACCGGCTAAATGCCCTCGCCAGTTTCTCGTACTGGGTATCGAGTATGTGTGATTTGCCGATTGCCTTCTTTCCAACCTACTGACCGGCAGGATAGGCCCTACAGCGATTCAGAGCAATGTCAGTTCCTCATCGGGCCCCTTCGCGATGGGGTCGCCTCCCAGAATCCGTGTCGCCTCGTCTCAGTCTGTGGATTCCCGCCTCACTGAAATCGACGAACCTGTCTCGCCCATGGCTCCAACGCACGATGCAAATTCCCTGGCGCCTAACCAGGCTCAAACAAATATGCCTGTCAAGGTGGACGTCCCTACCCCGAAACCTGGTGACGATGTCCTGGTCACCGATGATGGCCCAGTTTTTCGAGCCGCACTTAAGGCTCTAGAGCAGAAGACGGGGAATATGCGAACGCAGATGAAGAAGGTGCTGAAGAAGGCCGAACAGGTCCACGCTACCCAAACAGAAGCCAATGAGGCCTTTGTTTCATTCATTGAGTCTTTGCGTGAAGTGTCATCGACGAATGCCAACGCAGTCCAGCCTGCCCTGGAGCACTATTTCGACAAGATTGCACGCGAGATACTGACTTACGAACGACAAAACACCATAGCCATGTCGAAAATCGTTATTGAGCCGGTGCAAAAACTATACCACATAGATATCAAGCAAGCCGAAGCCAAGAAGCGAGAATTTGACGAGGAGAGCAAGGACTACTACGCATACGTATCCAGGTATCTTGGTCAGCGTCAAGACTCGGTCAAGGCTAAAAAACTGGCCGACAGCGATACAAAATACCAGAGCAAGAGGAAGATCTTTGAGCTCAAGCGATTCGACTACTCGAGTTTCATGCAGGATCTTCATGGCGGACGCAAAGAGCAAGAGGTCTTGTCTCATTTGACGAAATATGCAGATACACAGACTAAAACTTTCATGACAACGGCCAAGAAGATCGAAGGGTTGCTCCCACAGTTGGAGGCACTATCGTCCGAAGTTTTGGAGGCGGACAAGGAGTATCAGTATCAAAGGCGGGAGCGAGAGGAGAAGCGACGCCTGTTGGAGAAGACGAACGGCACTTACCTTGAGCCCGAACAGGCCAGCATCAATAGTTCGGTACCCGCCACGACCAGTTCTAACGGCACACATCAGGGGTACGCCTCAGATGGTGATCTTGGCCGAGCTGATAGTACAGGTTCTCAGTTGCGAGCTGCCTCTTCATCTGGTTCCAACACCGCAGTCCCATCCACGACCTCGGAACTCTCGAGGTCTCCTGGAAGCCTGGGCCAGTCGCAAGCGCCGAGCCCGGCGCCGAGTACCAAATTTAAGGGCATCCGGGATCTCGAGGAACCCAGTGCCTCACAAACGTCACTCGCGCAGCGTAAGGAAGGTTTGCTATGGGCTTTGAACCGTCCAGGCGGCCATGTCGATCCCAGAAATCTAAATAAGCAGGGATGGCACAAGTAGGTGTACCCGCACGCATTCGAGAACGTGCTGTGGAATGACTTTGACTAACGGCAAACTTTTAGGTTCTGGATCGTACTGGATCAAGGACGGTTGTCTGAGTACAGCAACTGGAAGCAAAGATTGGATCTACACATGGACCCAATCGACCTCAGGATGGCCTCGGTTCGAGAAGCGAGAAATGCCGAACGGCGGTTCTGCTTTGAAGTTATCACGCCAAACTTCAAACGTGTCTACCAAGCCACGTCTGAAGAGGATATGAACAGTTGGATTTCCTCCATCAACAATGCTCTTCAAAGTGCTATGGAAGGACGGGGAGTTCCCGACAAGCCCAGCACTGCGAGATCAACAGGCGATTCATCCTTCAAACGGGATATTGGATCAATCCTAACGGGCAAATCGCAGTCTGTCGGCCACGGCCACCACTCTAATCACAACCACTCAGCTTCCGGGTCGGGGAATGGCCTGCCGGTGCGTAGAATAACCGTCGGTGCTCGGCCTCCAGCTGTTCGAACACCCAGCTCGGGGTATGATGAGAATCCAGACAAGCTGCTGCAAATGGTCAGGGAAAATGACAAGGGCAATACATGGTGTGCGGACTGTGGCTCTGGTTCCAAGGTTGAATGGGTATCCATCAATCTCGGCATCATTTTGTGCATCGAATGCAGTGGCATTCACCGGTCACTCGGCACGCATATTAGTAAAGTTCGGTCCCTTACGTTGGACATCAAATCCTTTACTGTCGATATTGTCGAGGTTCTCCTCCTTGTCGGAAATAGGGTCTCCAACATGGTCTGGGAGGCTAAGCTTGATCCCTCTCTGAAGCCAGGACCTCACGCGACGAGAGAACAGCGACTACGATTTATCACGGCCAAATATGTCGACAGAGCTTATGTCGAGCCGATCTCTTCGACCCTTTCAAGATACGGCACCCCGGACGAAACCCTTTTGGCCGCAATCAAAAAGAACGAGATCCAGCAAGTGCTGTACGCCTTAGCGCTGAGAGCGAATCCAAACGTCGTTGATAGGATGCGAGGAACGCATGCCATGTGGCTGGCATTAGCGGCAGCAGATCCTGCTGCACCTTCACCAACACCAACACCGACTACGGCCGATTCGGACAGCAAAGTAGTCCCGTTCCCTGTTGCAGAAATGCTTACCCAAAACGGGGCCGAGATACCTTCAACACCGCCGGCGTTCCCGCTCGGTCGATACGCCCAGATTTATGTGGACCAGAAACGAGGCAAGGTTATTGGTGGTGCCTCAGATTCCGTGCCCTCGCTGCCTTCTAATCTAAGCGCAAATGAGAGGCTTCAACGAGAAAGAGAATCGCGGCTGCAAAAGAGAGTGAGTGCCGGTGGGAGGCTAGCTAAATCACCGATTCCCGAGAGGTAGGAAAGGAAATTTTGGGAACGGTTGGCGGGCATGAGCCTGTGCTACCACGACTTTTGGCTTCCGCGGTTCGGGAGTTCCGAGTCGGGAAGCAGTGATGACATGATTTCTTCATGATAAGATGGGTCATACGTGATGAGCGACACGCAGGGGTATTTCCCCTACACCTTGGGTTCAAACTTGGCGTTTTTTTAAGGAGGTCTCTTGACACTTGGAGCAAGAAGGGTTGACGAGTGGCACACACACTTTCTAGCCGTGCCTGATTGCGTATATGTTATGGTGGTAATAGGTTAGGATTGACAGGGCTGTCTTGAGCAGGCACTGGTACCGGACGCGTCATTGCTATATCCCTCGTTATTGGCATCAGCAGGGAGTTGGAAAGAAGCATTGTATAGTATACAACTTGATGGATACTCATTAATGGTAATGGCTCAATGTTGGGAGGGTTTTTTTCTTCTTGTTTCTTGGCTTCAATTGGCCCGGAAGCTGTTTGTGAATGAATACACATTGCTGACCGCGAATACAAGTATATATGCTTCCTTCTTTTCCATTGAATGTCCGCCCCTTGCTTCTCCAGTGTGTTATGCCATTTGCTCTTCCGACTGGGCGGGGAATGCCGAGCAGGGTTACATTCTATTGCAACCCTCTTCCGACCCTGGCGAACTGATGCATGGTTGGATTCTTGATTTAGTCCTCCCATGGCATCAGCTGATAAGAATGAGGAATTACCAGCATTTATTGACTCGATCAATGGATATTCACAGACAGCTCGGTTCTTGGCAGCCAGCCAAATGCGATTTACACAACTGCCACCATGTTTCACTGGGTGATGGTGGCCGTTGGCCTAGTTGCCATGAACGCCCCTACTGCGCAAAGCTGTTCCACGAGTGATCCAATGAGTATATCCCTGCCAGTGAGGTTCCCCTTGAACCTGTCTAGAGTGGCCGCGTCAGTTGTCGCAATCGAGTCTGGCCAGACAACGGTGTCTTTCGAATGTCATCCCAGCGTGAAAACAGAGGTCTGCAATCCTCACATGGATCGCCGCATCACGTTGGGTCCTCTGGTACCGAATGAACCCAGTACTCGCGAGGTAGCTATCTATAGAGGTGGATGGGTAACATGGTAAGCTGAGCTTTTCATAACTACTGGTTATTTGGTATCACCATGTACATCTGTATTCCTGGGGCATCTTCATCATATGCCATCTCCAGCTGTGGAGTTGCTATTAACGAAAGATCAACGTTCCAGGCGTGAGAACCGATGGTGCCCGCTCGATTCAGAAGTGACTTGCGCCGAGTATTTGACCACTGGGTCAACTGCAGCGCAGTCCCTCATCTCACCCATCTCAACGCAGGAGGGAGACCTTGAGTTGCGAGGACCGGCCGCAAGCTCAGCAGAGGCACAAACAACAACATCTGGGGCATCCTCCACCTCCTCTCTAGACGCTTCCCCAACATCTCCGCGACCTACCACAAGCGCCGAAACAACAGATCCCAGGATGTCTATTTTGCTGGCGACGGGGAGTCCAGTCATCCGAACACTGGCGTCGACGACATCGGGTTCGGGGAACACCGCCGGACTGTTACGGGAAGGACATGGTCTTGGGTTCGCTGTGGTTGCTGCTGGCCTGGTTGGCGCAGCCTTGATTCTCTAGGAGAATTGGCCGGGTTTAATAAGGGTAATGGTAGGAAGAACTACAGGGTGTGCGAGTTTCAACTGTTCTCAGCTGGAGCCAACTGGTGTCTTATGAGGCTCAAAATGTAGCTAGTTGCATCTTGGTTTTAATCCTAATTTTAATGCTAGTATTTTCTCAATACGATGGAGTGTTGCTGTGAGGTCATCGTCGGTAGTTCCGGGACTGGTTGTGCTTGTGCCTCTCTAGCAGGTGATGTGGCTGGTGACAGTAGAGAACGTGCCGCCCCTCACATGTTCATGTGGAAAGATGATGATCGAGATAGTGGGGAGGATACCATCATCGGTCAGACCGATACAGGCCAGCAGACGTATCGAGAGACCAGCCCTCAGGTTGGCAAAGCCCGGGGTGTCTTTCCTATCTGCGTATCCATAGGAAGGGTCCTCCAAGTCGATGAATATTACTGCTAAGCATTATCGCCCACTACCTAACCAAAGCGAAGCATAGCAAACATGGAAGCATACATAGGACCTACATGGCTGACTAGTGCGACACGGGTGTGGCGCTGGGTGTGGCTTACGAAAGGGATGGCTAATAGTATTTCCACTTGAACGGAGCAGGCGGGGGACTGGCAATGCTGCTACTGAGCCTCCGAGTCTGTCAGACTCCGGCCAAAGTGGCAATGGGCATCATTATGCATGGATGCTGGCTGAGCTTGGCAGCGGGTGGGTTCAGCGCCGGTGTGATGTGCACCCATGACCGCCGATTGATCACTCCGTGCTGGATGCCCGGTCCCAGGTCGTCATGATATCGATGCAAGGTGCCGCCGTGACACGAACCGAGCTCTACACGAACCGAGGAGACAGGGGGGGATCCGGAATCCGTTCGCGCGCAGGTATTAATGACAGAAAAAAAAGGAACTGGGATGGATGCTAATGATGGCATTGCTGTTGGCTGGCTGTGAAGGCACGGGGGAGACCTGCTGCGATCTGCCCCCAGCGGCCGGAACTGCCTGTTGGTCCCTGACTAGCGCCCCTTTGGCTGCGCCGAACCAGCAGCTTAGCAAGCAGAACCTGAGACAACAGTGGATGTTAGCAGGCAAGTCACGTACCCTGTGGTTAGCCGCGCCCCTAGTACATAAGGCTGACTGGGGCTGGGGTGCTCAGCACAGAGTGCTAGAGTTCAGTAGCGCGTTGGTTGCCTACCTGCCTGCCTGCTGTCGCTCCGAGCGTTCGAGTCACTCTCGCATATCATCCGTGGAGTGCAAAAGCAGTCGCAAGACGCCAGGCACCCCATCTCATTTCCTTTGCTTTCCCATCCACCGCCAGCCCATTTCCTAACTGTCTCTGCGCTGACTTGCTGGCCTGGAGCTGAGGTTCTTTTGCCCGAGTCTGATAGGCACCACTGCATTTCTATTTGTCCAACCTTTGCGCGGACCCAGAAGGCCAGCGCTCATCACGTATCGTTGCTTGCTCGCCTCTATCCCAACGTGAACAGCTGAGAGCTCCACCACCGACGTCCGGCTTTCGGGCCTTGCCAACGCCAGCGACCATGTCGCCAACCAGTGAAAAGAGTACCCTGAAGCGCCCTCTCGTATGTCGCCCCTTTTTGCCTTTGGCGGGTCGGCCAATCGTTTATTAACGTGAAGCGAAAAGGGCTCCTTGCCGGAGGACGAGACGGAAACCAAGAAGCCGCGCCGAACCACGGACGACGCAACCATCCTCAAAACCCCAATTACGAACAAGCAGCATCTCCCCTCCCCCCTGACGAACCAGGGCGAGAGCGATGGCAAAATCACAGCGCCTTGCTCGACTTCCCTCGAGCCGCACCTGACGCCCCGTCTAACCGACGACCTTGAGGAGCCCAGCCAGGTGCTCTCCTCCCCTCCCCACGACACACAGCAGAACACCCAGCCCGTCGATCAGCATCCGGCATTCGCGGATGACATTGAAGATGAAGCCAAGGAGGGAATTTGGGGCTACCTTGTACCCCTGGATCCCAGATACGGGGACAGGCCTGTGCCCTTGAAGAGACGGACTGCCTGCCCCTTACCAGACGCAGCTGAAGCTGCTGCGAACGCGAAATCAGCCGATTCGAAGGGCAAGAGCACGCCGGCACGAGAGGAAGAGGCCTACGAGCGCACAAAGATCAAGGGCCATGCGTCTGGCGGCTACCTGATCGGCCGGCACCCCGAATGCGGTAAGACAGCTCTATCCCCTTTCCCTCCCGCTCGCCCCCAATTGATATGCTAATATCGCATAGATATCCTCGTAAATGATCAAACTGTGTCAAATAGACACTGCCTAATCTTTACCGAGAACCAAGGCACAGACAGCGTTGCCATTGTGGAGGACCTTTCCCAGAATGGCACTTTCGTCAACGAACAGTTCATCGGCCGCAACCAGCGGCGAGAGCTAAAGGATGAGGACGAGATCGCCATTCACGGCAAAGCTAGATTTGTTTTCCGATACCCTCGCAGCAGACAGACGAGCGGTTTCTTGCAACAATACACACTTCTCCAGAAGCTCGGCAAGGGTCATTTTGCTGAGGTCCACCTCTGCGTCGAGAAGGCGACCGGACAGCGATATGCCGTCAAGATATTCACTAAACATCCTGGAGTGGAGGACAGGTCCAAGACCGAGGGTCTTCAGCAGGAAATCGCCGTCCTCATGGGTGTCAGCCACCCCAACGTTTTATGCTTGAAGGATACTTTCAACGAGCGTGATCGTGTCTATCTGGTTTTAGAACTAGCATCCGAAGGCGAGCTATTCAATTACATTGTAATGAAGCAGAAGATGAGCGAAGATGAGACTCGCAAGTTGTTTCTACAACTTTTCAAGGGGATCAAGTACCTGGTTAGAAGAGCACCCTCTCTATCCCACTGGTCGAAATGTCACTAACCTGCCTGTAGCATGAAAGAAATATCGTTCACAGAGATATCAAGCCTGAAAATATCTTGCTTGTAGACAAGAATCTTCACGCTAAACTTGCCGATTTTGGTCTTGCTAAGATCATTGGCGAAGAGTCCTTTACGACCACTTTGTGCGGAACTCCTAGCTACGTGGCTCCCGAGATTCTTGCAGACTCCCGGAGGCGCAGATACACCAAGGCCGTCGATGTTTGGTCACTCGGAGTCGTTCTCTACATCTGCCTCTGTGGATTCCCCCCCTTCTCGGATGAGCTCTTCTCCCGTGATTTCCCCTACAACTTGTCCCAGCAGATTAGAAGTGGGCGCTTTGATTACCCCTCACCTTATTGGGATTCAGTCGGTGACCCAGCTCGTGAGTTTTGTCGTTCTAGCACTTAGGGTGTGTCTCGAAACTAATGGATAAATAGTTGACTTGATCGATTCAATGCTGGTTGTTGACCCCGAGAAGAGGTTCACCATTGATCAGTGCCTTGCACATCCCTGGTTAACTCAAAAAGCACCTCCTGTCAACGATAGCACTGGGGGACTCGTCGGTGGCATTGCTGGACTTGAGGTCAACCGCAGGGCCCCAGCCCGAGAGCGCACTCTGCTCTCAACTCTCAACTCCGTGGACGTTATCACCACCCAGGTTGATGCCGGTGGCAGCCAGGACCCTGTCAAGGTGTTTTCCAAAAACAAGAACCGTGTTATCAACGCTCCTAAAGAGGCTGGTCCTGCTCATCAAAGGGCCCCAGCTGAATTTGCTGAGTTGGGCGGCAAGGGAGACCAGCAACTATTTGGAGACGACAATGGTAGCATCTACCCTTCCAAGGATGTTATTGCGAAATCTCCCGCCAGGCAAAAGTAGAAGGCAAACATGAGTAGGTGGAGAAGTGCTGAAGAGAGCTAATTTTTGTCACAAGTTGTTTTTTACTATACATGTCAGGTCTGGTTGACCGAGGTTCGGCATTTTGTGTGTTTTTCTTCATCGCAATTTGGTGGTTTTCTAATAATGGCTGTTTTTTTTGGGGGCTGGGTTGAATCATTATCAACTACCTTACCTGACAAGGGATATCGGGATACACAGCGTTTTGTTAGGTCACATATTTCATATGTGTGGGATTGTTTGGCTCACGCTCGGAGGGCGATGTTATCTGTGTGGTTTTGATATATAGGATGTGGGAAATGAAGTGCTACAACACCAAGGTCATTTTCATGATATCGAGGAAATACAAGGACACCAAAAGTCAGATTTAGCCCATGAATATCTGCAGATAGATAATTCCAACACATAAAAATGATTGTTTGACCACGAAAAAGAGGGCGGCATGCAGATAATCCGGGTCACCGCCCTCGCTTAGCGCCCACACAATGAAGGTGGCAGAAAAATCAGCGGGGTGGGCATGACTGGAGGGGGCGCCCCACTACAGGGCTTCACGAGAGGCGACCCTGTACGAATTATTCGTAGCGCAAAACCAGTCATTGATTTGGGTCTCACTGTCGAGCAGGAGGACGAGCGAGCACTTGACGAGTGTATTCTTCCCAGCACGCCCAACGGCCGATACTACAACGACTCGACTCGACCGGAAAACACCAGACTCGGGATCACGATGCCCGCCGCCACCAACCCTGGGCAGCCCCAGCTGCTATTCGCCGATGGATCCTTCGAGGAACTCGCTCTCGAGTTGGCCGAGTACCTGAAGGTCGAAGATGCCAAGCAGCTGTTTGAAGGAGACAAGAAGGGCTCCACGGAGGAGATTCTTGTCAAGCTGGTCGCCGCCGCCCCTGGCCTTCTCTCCGTGCCCGAGAAGGAGTTCACTGCCGCGTCCAACCTGCTGATCCACCTCGTTCTGCAATCTTCCGAGCCCAAGAAGCACCTGCCGACCCTTTGCAACATCTTCTCCAAGCCCGTCACCACCTCCCCTGTCCACGGCGTTGGGCTCTCTCTGAATGCCCTCACCACCGTGTTCAACCTCCTCGAGCCCACCGACCCGATCCGAGCCCGTGTGTTCATGGAGATCCTCAAGTTCTTGAAGGCGCACAACCTATTCGAAAGCCTCAAGCATTACTTGGACAACCTACCCGAGTGGATGGAGGCATGGGGGACTACAGTAGACTACCAGAGGAAACTCTATGAGGAGGTCGCAGACGTCGCCCTGGAAGCTGGCGAGGACGAGTGAGTCAATTCTGATCTTTTGAGGCCACAGAGGGCGTGAAGGGCGCTCTCCCCTCACTCGCATATACCGTTTGTCTCTTTGCTAACATCTTGCCACAGGCAAAGCTACGAGTTCATCCTCAAAGCCTTGCGCACATTCGACGCCGATGGAAAGGACGATGCTTCATCTGAGGATGCCCAGAGACTATCACTCCGCGCTGTGCGCATGGCCCTCCTCTCCAACACCCACTTCCTCTTCCAAGACCTCCGATCGATTCCTTCAGTCCAGGCCCTGAGCGACTCCCAGCCGGTCTATTCCCAACTCCTCGACATCTTCGCCGAGCAGGACTTGGAGGACTACAATGACTTCAACGAGGAGCATGAGGGCTGGGTCGACCAACAGAAGCTTGACCACGAGAAGCTGCACCGCAAGATGCGCCTGCTCACATTTTCCAGCCTGGCTGCGGGCACACCCAGCCGCGAGATCGAGTACGCAAGGATTATCAAGGCCCTTCAGATCCCCGTCGAGGATGTCGAGATGTGGGCCATCGACGTGATCCGCGCCGGCCTGGTTGAAGGCAAGCTGTCACAGCAGCGAAACAAATTCCTCGTACACAAGGTCACGTACCGCGTCTTTGGCCAGAAGCAGTACCAGGAGCTCGCGACGCGCGTGGACCACTGGAAGTCGACGATGCAGAACGTCCTGAGCGTCCTGCGCCAGGAACAAACCAACGCCAAGTCCCAGAAGGAGCGCGAGGCGCAAGAGTTGGAGCGCAAGCTGAATAACGCCACCTCCGGCACCGGCGGCCAGGGCGGCCGGCGGCAACAGCGGGAGCGGACGGACAATGACGACTAAGCCCAAAAAAACAATACCTGGTAGAGAATCTGCAGTATTAAGAGCGAGGAGATCATGACACCCGGCCAGGGTGGTTACCTGGAGGATTTGAACTGGGCAGGGGCTACGGGAAGTGGATGGTTGATAATACCGTTTTGTGATACTATTTTTCGTTCGTCAAAGGGACATGCTTCCTCTTGGCTTGGGGGCTGTGATGTGGTGTGAGACGGCGAGACCCTGATGGGCGGCGGGAATCTATCTATTGCTTTCCAGCGTCAGGGAGGGCACGGGATCCAAAAGAAAAATCAAGGGATTAAATAGAATGATGAAACGAAGCACCAATGAACATAACAGCGAGAGGAAAAGTGCCTGCATCTAGATGGAATGTGATCCCCCGCTTCAGCCCCCCCGCCATAGAACCATGTAAGGCGGTGCGGGAGAGGGGTTTTGGGTAGGTAGTTGAAGAGTGAGTTCGCTTTCAATGATCGTCTTGCGCCAGATCCGTTCTCCAATCTAAACCAATCCTTCTGGTGGTGATTGCCTTGCAGCAGGCGCCAGGATGTACGCGCCCGTGGTTGGATGCCATGGCCTCGGTGGGCTGTGGAACATTGCCAGCCACCTCTTTTCAGCTGAGGTTGAAACTGGCTGGACGTTGAGAAAGGCCCAGGGGGGCGTTTATTAGCTCCCGCCCCTCCCACCTTCTTCCCCACCGGGCAACGGTCTCATTCATGTTGTGTTGTCGACGCTCGTCCGACACGCCCTGAGCCCTTCGTGTTCAGAGAAAATTCCCGATTCCCGGTTCGATAAGAGTGGTGCAGCCGTCGCGGCAGATGCAAGAAGCGGAGGATGCCGTCCAAGAAACCCGGTCGGCAGCGCAATCGGCAGAGGGCTTCCCAGTCTGAGCCTCAGTCAGCTGAGAAGAGTCGGGACGATGGCTTGTTATACAAGGGAAAGTGGTACTGTAAGTCATCGTCCTAGCCATTATTCTACTTGGCGCATCATCCACGCATTCTGCTGCTTTGTTTTGATTGCCTATTCATGTATTTCATCTGACATGCCATCCCCCAGGCAACTGCAAACCCCGACGCCGGGAAGCGTCCCGCCGGGAGGTCAAGAAGGAGGAGAGTGCGAATAAAGGTAATTTCTATTATACGTGCATCCTAGACTCGCATCCGTGTGGGTTCTGGCTGTGGGAGAGCAAGGCCCAGGGCCGGGCCGAGACGACTTTTCAACCTGAGGAGGCAGAGCAACAGCTCTTCCTGGAGAAGCCAAAGCCGGAAACCCAGAAACAGTTGACCTCCTTTTTTCAGGTCACACCAGGCCGACGTCCGGCTGAGGACGGTGCTGGGGCCATGGAGACGCCGTGTCCTTCAACGTCTAAACGAAAGCGAGATGCATTCGAGACAGACGAAGACCAGGAGTCCGCGTATGGCATGGACTCGGGAGAGGATGAGGAGCTGATCGCCTTGGTGGACGAGACTGTTTCTAGCTCAAGGAAAGGCAAGGGGAAGGAGAAAGCTGCTCGTGGTGATCCTTACATCACGCCAGCCACTCAACGAACCGTTGATGTGCTGGGTGGGCTTCCAACGCCGTCTGTTACACGGACTCTTTTCCCATCTTCATCCAACAAGCGCCACAAGACAGTGTCATTCGAGGAGAGCCCGGAGCTGGAGACACCGTCGACCTGCACCACGGCTACGGTCGCTGCTCCCACACCAAGCTCAACATCACAGCCCGCAACCCCGAGAACACCTGGATCCAGCGTACCGGACGTCTCAGAGGAGGTCATGCCCCTCCTACAAGGGCAGAGGATCACCCCCGATGCCCTCAAGTCGCTCCGCGAAGTGCTGGCCAACTCGGCCCGGAAGACGAAAGGTGTCGTCGCCGGCAGAGACTTCCTGAGGAGCGAGCTGAGCAAGAGGGAGACCAAGATCGCGACGCTGCAGGGGAGGGTCGAGGCAGTGGAGAACAAGAACAAGCTGCACAATCGCCAGGTCACGAACATACGAGCCGGGATCATGAAGCTCCACGATGAGCTATCCAAGAATCAAATCTCGAGCGTGGAGGACATCAAGGCGAGCCTCATGAAACTTTACGAGCGGAACTAGAGGGACGGGAGGGTCTGTGTGTTTACTTTAACTTTTTTTTGTTAAATTTTCCCTGGTTAACTAATCTCTCTGGGAACGTATGGAGCAGGCGTGTTATCTGTATTTTTAATTTTCTTTATATTGTATATATGATATTTTGCTTCTTTGATTCAAGACACTTTGAGTGCCTATCTGTGGGTAATCAGCGGCTGACTCTGGCTGTTGGCCTTGGGACATGCGACCCAGTCGATGGTCAACAAAAGGCGTCCATCTGGGTCGCAAAGACAAGCGGGCAGCATAAGAAGGCGGAATCAATATTAATGGCGCTGATATAACTCGGTCTCGTATTAGCGAAATGGACAGATACACAGACTCTTCAGAGAGGTGCGTCAGACAACAGTTCTAATACCTGATTCTTACTGCTGTTCCATGTTGTGAATTGCTGGGCGCTGCATTGCATCAGCCGCGGCGCTTTGGCCACTCATTGTTACCACCACTCCTGGCAGTGTATTGCAGCAGGTGGGTGATAGGTAGGTACTATTAGTGGGCAAGGTATCAACGACGGTGCTTGGGCTTAGCAGCAAGGCACAATGTGACAAAGACAAGAAAGTCAAAATGGATCATGCACTGTGAAGCCTCTTGTTCTGCCTTGTTCCTCTCACAGCGAATACCATCCATCCCTCCGTCTCAGTATCACTTTTGTCCTTTTCGTGCGGCGACCAACAGGCCGCGGTGCGTGCTAAGCTGGGCTAGGCTCCCCTGGCTGCCGGCCGGTGCAGGACCACACCATGTACTCCCGCTGCCAGCTGCCTCTGTAAAGGTACCTGCCTCCGGTACGTACCAGGTATGACCGCAGAGCCCGCCTGGTGCAACGCATCACCCCTCCATGGAACCTTCCAATCAGCAGGGGCCACACTGGGGGTGAGCGCGGGCTACGGGGGCAGCGCAGCCAGTAAGCTTCGCCACAGCATCGACTTTCTTCGATACAATTCCATGAGGCGCTACGAACTTCGGGGCGGATCTGCAGGGTCGCCCTTTTTTTTTCTTCTCTCGCCGTCCAAGGTCGCTGCAAGTACCTGTTTGCCCCAGCGCCCGCCTGCTTACCAGCCTAATCAGCGCTGCATTACCTGGGAGATACCAGCCCGCCCGACGGTGTTCCAGCGGCATTGTGCTCTGCCTCTAAGACGGATATCTACATACTTCCATACTACTCGCACACACTTCCATTCTCCAAAGCTTGCACAACCTTTCCCTCTCTTCTTCCTAATCACATCTTAATACTCACACAAGGATTCCGTCGCTGTCCTTGTTGGTACGTGGCCGCCCTCGAAACGTGAACTGACTCGGAGCTCGCTCCCCAAGTCTTGGTTATCTTGCCCTTTTGCTGACTTAAACCCGGCGCCCTGTTAGGTGGCGGTTTAGTGCTTGGTCTACCCTGAAATTTCTCTCTCAGCCCCGCCAGCCCCAAGTTTTAAAGATCAACGCCAGCCCGATTCGTTTCCCGAGACCGCGCAACAACAAGAAACCACCATCTCCCCTCCCCCTTCACCATCTCTCGAGGAAAAGGTACGCACGAATCCCTACGAGACGTCCAGAGGCTGCACACGTACGACCGCCCGCTCTGGATTTGAACTTGGCGCAGCTCCGCTCGGTGATTATTCTCCAAGCAACCATCAGGCTGACAAACTCTCCGGACTTTAGGCACAGCCTGGTTTTACACACCCTCCTCCCCCTCCTTCCGCCGTTCTGAACACAACAGACAACCGAATCACACATAATTCACCACGATGGCGAAGGATACCAAGTTCTACGACACCCTGGGTGTATGTGATCTCCCCGTTTCTCCCCACATTTTGGTGTGTTGGAAAATTAGGCATTCTCTTACATTAACGCTCTCCAGGTCTCCCCAACCGCAACTGAGGCTGAACTGAAAAAAGCATACAAGGTCAACGCCCTGAAATATCACCCAGGTACGGCGCTGATCTCTCTTTCCTGCGAGATACGAGAGCAACTTGACTAACGGGAAGGTCGGGAACACAGACAAGAACGCTCACAACCCTGATGCCGAGGAGAAGTTCAAGGAGGTTTCCCACGCCTACGAAATTCTCTCGGATCCTCAGAAGCGACAAATATACGACCAATATGGTGAGGCCGGTCTCGAGGGAGGCGCTGGCGCCGGTGGCGGCATGGCTGCCGAGGACCTGTTCGCCCAGTTCTTCGGCGGCGGCGGATTCGGTGGCATGGGCGGCATGTTTGGTGGTGGCATGAACCAGCGTGGCCCTCCCAAGGCCCGGACAATCCACCACACCCACAAGGTTGCCCTCGAAGACATCTACAAGGGCAAGATCTCAAAGCTAGCTCTTCAGCGGTCCATAATCTGCCCCAAGTGCAGCGGTATCGGCGGCAAGGAGGGCTCCGTAAAGAAGTGCGCTGGCTGTGACGGCCAGGGTATGAAGACCATGATGCGCCAGATGGGCCCGATGATCCAGCGGTTCCAGACCGTCTGCCCTGACTGTAACGGAGAGGGTGAGACGATCAAGGACAAGGATCGTTGCAAGCAGTGCAACGGCAAGAAGACCATCGTCGACCGCAAGGTGCTCCACGTTCATGTCGATAAGGGCGTCAGAAGCGGAACCAAGGTCGAGTTCCGAGGCGAGGGTGACCAAGCTCCGGGAATTCAGGCTGGTGACGTCGTTTTCGAGATTGAGGAGAAGCCACACCCTCGATTCACCCGTAAGGAGGATGATCTTCTCTACAAGTGCGACATTGAGCTTGTCACAGCTTTAGCTGGAGGTACCATCTTCATCGAACATCTCGATGACCGCTGGTTGAGCGTCGACATTCTCCCTGGTGAGGCTATCGCACAAGGTACGAAGTCCCCGCAGTTCAGGGTGTAAACCCTTCTCTGGAAGCCAATACTAACAATTCTCCAGATGCTGTCAAGATGGTCCGTGGGCAGGGTATGCCTTCATACCGCCACCACGACTTTGGCAACTTGTACATCCGCTTCAACATCAAGTTCCCCGAGAAGAACTGGACTGATGATGAGGCCGCATTCGAAGCCCTGAGAAAGTATCTGCCATCACCTTCGCTCGAGAACGTTCCGCCTGCCGAAGCTATGACTGAGCCTGCGGATCTTGAAGATGCGGACAACACCTCACAGAACCGCGGCTTCGGCAGCGGTGCCATGGACGAGGACGATGAGGATGGACACCCCGGTGCCGAGCGCGTCCAGTGCGCCTCCCAGTAAAGCATTCGAAACCCAAAAAGCCAGGAGACGCGACAGATCCGGACCCAAGGACATCAATGGTGTCCAGCCAGGAGAGACACCTTCCTAGGGCCGGTCTATGCCTTCATGCCTGACCTCACTTTTGGCCTCGGCTGAAACGGGCGAGGGCTTTCCTTGGCTCTCATACGATAGATATGGTGATCATTGAGTACTTATCCTATTATCCTATGGTAGGAAACTCGTTGATTGTGTGTCCATCTGAGCATGACGTTTCTGCTTTTCTTTGATTTAATTCATCGCCCCCTCATGATATTTTGATACCAACCCTAGAAAAGCTTAGGCGATAGGGGTGGTTGGCTTCCTATTGCTAGCATGGAGAATTGAGGGAATCTGAGGGGGCGGGACATGACGTTGCGATGGCCAGCTGCCGCGATGAAGGAGTTCGGGTGGTTGAGCATGAAGGAGACGAGACAGTCCATACAGCGCTGTTTTAATGCCGTCCCCATTACATTGATTTTTCTGGTAGTCGACTTGGGCGAGGAGTGGCAGGGATACGGACAGATGGTGCTGGGAGACACAGGGGGCTCCGGATAGTGCTGGGGCGGGCGTTTAGAGGGCATAGACGATTCAATGAGCTTTAAGCAGCGGCAGACCAAGTAGACATATGACATGAATCTATTGATTTGACCTACTACCTTACCTATACCATGATTCCGAGCGTTGGCCAGGGATCAACCTAATTCCTCAAGGGCCTGTACTTGTATGTGTGATGTCTAATGTATATTAACAACAATCTCTCGCGAAACTGCCTCGAGTATAACAAGTGCCCACCATCGAGTTATAAAAAAGACACCACCTAGTAGTGTCTACTTGAAGGAGAAGAGAGATAGAAAAGACAGGCTTGAAGAAATCATCTAATTCGATAGGTCATGATGGACAGGCTTTTCGCACAAGCTTGAAGACGTTGTCCCTAGCAGGAAGGAATATAATGGAAAACAATATGGCTTCAATCAAATTGGCGTAAGCTTTTTCTCTCTTTACTCGCACGTCGACACAAAGCAGCGGGCCCTCTGGATAATTGTTTGGTAAAGTTTAACTGGTTCCACCAGCAATGTGAACTCCTTGATACTACATAAGACAGATAAAATTATACAATAAGAATGTCAAAATCAAGGAGTCCAGAGACACATTTGTATCTTCACATGTCCAGTTATGGCAGAACGCAAAAAGATATGAGGAAGAAAAATCAATCTGTGGATCAAAAAACGCAAAACATGATCGTATAGGCGATATTCATCACGCCTTTCATTGCATCAAGCATGACCACTCTCAATCCATCATCCATCGTGCCTGAGTTAGCATATTCACATGTCTCTTTACAATGTGACAAATAAGGAAATAAATGCGGCGACGAGCCGCGCGCTTAGAAAGCATCCTCGAAAGGACAGTCAACACTGTCATGTCCATCACGCTCACAGACCGCACACCACTTCTCAGGGTCCATCACGCCGCTCTCCTTTCCGGGAACAGGGCCCGAGTCCATCGGGTTGGGCATGACCTTGACGGCCGGGGTGACCACAGGGCTCTTCGACTTGACAGGCGAGAGAGGGGCAGGGTGAGCATTGCCGTCCTGTACCCTCAGGGCATCACCAGTAATGGTCTTGTCTCCATTAACTTCAGTGGTCATCTTGTCACCGTCTGGGCCAAACATGTTGGTGCAGGTCAAGATATCGTGGCCAGCCGTCTCACAGATCTCGCACCAAAGAGTGCTGTTCTCAGTTGCGCTGGAGTTGGCATCGCTCTCGGCCATGGGAGCCATGGCTGATCCCCGCTTGTGAGTACCGTCGTTATCATGACCCCTACTAGTAAGGACGACGGTGTCGCGCGAATCTCTGAAAGAGGATCGCTGAGGATTGATGTTGGTGACCCTGACCCGTTCAAGCTCTTGCTCGAGCTCTTCTTCCCGCTTGCTCTTCTGCTCGAGGATCCCCTGGAGTTCGGCCACCTGCCTCTCCAGATTGTCGCGAGCAATCTTGTTCTCAATGGCATCGCCTGGAATCAGTGAGCCCGGACGTCTAGGTCGAGGTGGTTCAGCGGGGACTGAGTCTCGGCTGAGTGAGTGGATGATAGCCTTAAGACCTCTAATCTCATCTTCCTTCAATTCCAGCTCCTTCAGCTTGTCCTTATCGAGACCACCTGCCTCGGCCTTTTCTCGCTCACGACGAAGTTCAGTCCTTGTCCTCTCCACATCCCCTCGCAAGAACTCGACTTCTCCTCGAGCTTCAGCTTCACCGCGACGGGCATCCTCAAGACCCTCTTCGAGCTCCTGGACAAGCTCCTCGAGTTGTTTCAGCTGGGTTGCCACCGACTCGACGTCAACATTCCGTGATTCCAGGTCACGGATGTCTCCCATGAGCTCTTCCATTCGCTTCTCATACACCCGCTCGGTCTCCGTGCTGGCCATCTCGAGAGCATCAATCGTACTACGGAAATCGGCCCGATGGGCATCAAATTCAGCCGTGAGCATAGCAATCTTCTCGTTCTTCTCCCGCAAGATCTGGCGTAGCTGGCTGGAATCTTTGTCGTCAAAGCTATTTCGTATCGACATCGGTCCTTCAGCATGCTCCATCAACGTTTGGAGTTCGGTCAAGCTGCTCTCCATTTCAGACAAAGTCGCTGACTGCTCTTGAAGCTGATGGTCTCGGTCTTGTAGCTGTGCTCGTAGCCGCTCAATCTCATCCTCATGGATACCATTCGCACGCGATGCCGGACGTGCCCTGCCAGCAAGAGAAGATGCTGAGCCTATGCTCCCATTTGCCTGCGCCCGGTGTCCGGTAGGTTTGTTCTCATCATCGTAACCCGAGACAGAGCCAAGTGCAGAGGCACTGCGTGGACCCATGCTTTGATTGCGATCAAACTGTGGTAACTTCTTGCTAGGATCGCCAGCCGTGCCGCGCACGCTTTGAGCGAAACGCGCAGCCTGCGCATTCGTTGGGCTTCCAAACCTAGACGGTACTTTCGGTGTCGCAATCGAGGGCTTCGGGGTCATTTGCGTCCGCCGAACCGGTGAGTCCGGTCGGGGCAGTGAGGTCCTCGGCCCACGTTTTCCATGAGGACTGGGTGCCCTGGCACCTGGGCCGACCGAGAGACTGAATTTAGGTAGACTGGGTGTTGGAGGGGTGAAATTCCCCGAGTGGTGGGAACCGGACCTGAGCCCTGCGGTGCCAGGTGTCAAAGGAATTGGAGATCCTCTGCGGAGAGCCTTGGCAACAGGAACGAAGATGCCCGCGCCAGGAACAGAGGTTGCGAAGTAGGAGATACTGAATGGCTCGTGTTAGCATGTTGCACGTTACTACATATATAAGTGCGCCTGATTGGGGACGGGATGAAGAGAGCAAGACGCGAGAGATGAAAAGACCTACCCATCTACATCACCGCTGTTCTTCCCACGCGGAGCAAATTCGGGATGGAGCTCTACACCAGCAAAGAGACCCTTCTTTCCTTGGACCGAACCGACGAAGCGTACGACGCCATGCATGGAGCCGGGGACATCAACAGTGTCGCCAACAGCCAGGTCGTCGCCAACCGGCCTGCCTGGCGTTGTAGGAGCCATGCTGTCTCTCGATTTCCGGTTGGCAGTTACGTTCAGCTGAGATGTGGTGCAGTCGCTTAGTACGGAGTCGTGGCCCTGAATGTTGACATCGGGATGGTTCGCGAGGTAGGCTTGCGTGAGTGCGGCGAGGGAAGATTTTCGCGGAAGGGGGGGAGCAGGGGAGCGTCTGGCCTGTCTCTCGTACGCAACCTTGAGATTCGGGGTAGAGACGGCGGTTGAGGGCCTGCGCAGCGACGAGCGAGACTTGCGGATGGTAGGCGTCTTAGTCCTGGTGATGGGCGTCTTGGGCCGGGTGACGGGCGTCTTTGGTCGCGCAACAGGAGTCTTGGGTCTCGCAATGGGCGTCTTGGGTCTTGCGATGGGTGTCTTGGGCCTGATAGGAGTTTTGGGCCGTGGCAGGGCAGCAGAATGGACCTGATGAGGCACAGGGGGGTAGGACGGGAGGGTGGTTGTGAAGGAGGCAGCGGTTGTCGAGGACATTTTGGCGGCTGAGATTTAGCGGGCCAGATTAGGTGGGTTCCGGGGTTGCCACGCAGCGGCTGTACCTGCGCTGGCGTGCCTGCCAGCTGGAGCGTAGCGGGTAATAGGCCTAGCTGGCCAGGAGAGTTTACAGGGACCGTGGCGCCAAAGCCTCCCTGGAGTCTGGCTGGTTCTGGCCCGTTGTGTCTCGTCTCCCCTTTTCTGCTCTTGTCCCAGCAACTGGTTATTTCCCGCCTGCAGCGGACCTTTTCTTCTTCGGGTACGGATGCAGCTGGTAACTTTGTTCTTGTTCTGTTTCGGCACCTCTAAACCAAAGACTCGCCAGCAACTCGGGAGCGATGAAGCACTATGTCCACAGCAGACGGGTTAGCATACTAAAGCTAAGATAGGGACTTGTATTTGTATGAGAAGGGAAGGAGATATCAGAAACATACTCGGAGGTGCAATCTCTCTTCGCGGGGTGGAGTGCCAAAATAAGACACCAGGAACCACACACACTCACCCAAGGTCGGAAGGGCCTTGCTTCGGGCTGTCTTGCAGCTGCGAAATTGCAGATATATAGGCGTGCCGGATTCGGTCGTTGTGGTGGTGGTAGGCAAGATCCGATTCCAGGTGGTAGCGTGCGCTGATCACAACCCTGCTGGAAAATCCGGAGGCGTCCTGGTTGTGAGCGAGCGACGAGGGGTGCTTGTGCGGAGCGAGAGACAGGGCCTGCTGGGTTAGTACTGGAGAAAGGAAAAGGCTGAGGAAAGCGAAAGTGAGGGTGAAGATGTGGAAAGAAGGAGAGGAAACCGGCCGCAGCTGGTGTTTTGTCGCGGAGCAGCAGGCTTGTTGTTGTTTTGGCCGACGATTGTTTACTTCGTGCTGGCACTTGCCTACATTTAACACCTGCCCGACAGCGCCTTGCGGTGCCTTTTCCTGGCTCGTTGCTGCACACCAAGCATGCACTCGTACATAGCCGTCGCCATCCGTACATAATCGTACATGGCCCTTCGTCCAACCTGCGTCCAGCATTAGGGATGGGGCCCCGTCACCGCCTGTCACCCCTATCCATCTGCAGCGGCAGGGTGCCAACTACCACTGCTGATCGAGTCCGGGGCCCTTCGTCTCGACGACACTATTTGCTGATGAGCCTGCAGCGCCCTGGTCTGGTGCAGTCCCAGTGCGGAGACTGGTTCCTCTCGCCTGCGCGTGTTGTCTGACCTGCTGCAGCTTGGGCTGTTTATCCCTCGCAGACGGCGCCAGTCTCCAGTAGCAACCGAGTACATACCTCCCGTAGCTGCATCTCATCGTATGCACCCCGCCAGAGCTCGATCTGGGACCTCTCCCTGCCTGCGCCGTCCGGCCCGCGGCTGAACCGAGGTCGCCCGGAGACAAGACATCAGTTAGATCATTGATCTTGCTGCTATCGTCGTAGAGCTGAGCTAGATCACTCATCCGGGCAACTTCCAGACTCAAACAAGCGGTGGAGGGGTAGCAAGGAGCTGTTCCGGCGCAGCTGTCGGCAGCTGGGGTGCAAGACAACCGCAGGCATCTTAGGGTGGAGCATCACCGTAGCTCATGTCATCATGGATGGATAAACGCCACGAAGGGGCCCTTCCTTCGTCCGATTCCTATCAAACTAGGATGCAGAAAGGGGATGTGCTGCCCAAACCGTCGAATTCGGATGCCGTCCACTCACTTCGGGTCGATTGCAGCCATGTCCCGGACAAATCGGTGATGTCAAATGCGCCACCCAACGATGGAGAAGCAGAAAACCATCAAGTCTCAACGGCAGGTCTGAGACATGCAACCTCAGGAGTGTCACATTCGACGCTACGTTTCTGATACATGGAACATAGTTCTACCGGCCAGACTCGCACTTTGTAATTATTGTATTCAATGCGGTTCATAGTAATTAGAAGCTAAACCAAACTCCACCTACCATCCTTGAGGACGAACGCTATGCCACAATGTGCCACTCTCAAGCCAATCGATCTCACCATTCCCGTCGGAACGGAGCCGAAAGATCCATAGTCCTCAGCGACTGAGAAGGTCACAGCGTAGCGAATAAGCTATGCTCATCAATTAATTCGCATCCCGATCCGTTATCCATGAACTGCTGACTCTCGCATTGGGAAGCAATCAATACCGCTCTGATGAGCTCGTGTGTAGGCGAAAACCAACGACGCTTGGGCCCGGTGTGGTTTGACATCCAAACAGTACCACATTCGCCCTTGCCTGTCCGGGGTGTCTAGTTATAGTAAGGAGATGGATATTGCCGAGTGCTTGTCCCCAGGATATATCCATATGGCTCTTAACTGCTGGAAGGTCGAAGTAATGCGTATTCGTAGAAATCTCCAAGGCGCTATTCCGGCTGCTTTGTAATTCAATTACTTGCAGGTCTCAGGTATAGGACCGACAAGAAAATCATCAAGGTAGATCTTCCTAGTCATGATCTCTCTCGATAATATCCTCCCGGCCAAAGGGCCTTGTCCCGTCGTTCAGAACCATGGCTTCGCGATGCTGGCGCCGAAGCCTCACTTCCTCGACTGACTGTTCTCTTGCCCGTGGAACTTGCTGTTCCGATGCAGGGATCGACATGTCAACCACGACGGGCCGGCCGAAGCCAATCACTTCTGTCTCCGAGATAAGGGAAGCGAGAGCAAGCGCATGTAAGCCCTCGTTGCAGCATCGGATGCGACCGACGATGTCGACAATGCGATTATTTTTGAAGCGCATGTATTCAGCAAAGTTGTACTGCCTCTCCTTAAGAGTATCACCCCAATCTTGCTTGGCCAGCCACATGTCAACAAACCCAGCCTTGATTAGCTTGCGAGCGTCGTACTTGTTGACCAGCTCCAGGACAAACATCAGACAGAGTCTTTCAGACACGTCACGGAGGTAATACTCATCCCAGTGGTGATCGTCGAGTCTAGGACGCTCCGTGTCACCCAAGCTTTGCTCCAGGGATCTGACGAGGGCACGATAGGCATATTTGTTGTTCAGGTTTGACAAGCCATCGAAATCTACAGAGCGGGACCCAAGTCAGTTCAGCTGTTTAGCGAGGGGGAAATAACCGTACCGGTAGCCTGACCTGTGAGAAGGACCAATGCCCGAAGGGCCTTCATCCTCTCATCGTAGTCTGGGAGCGTTATTCCATGGAGCAGATGGCGCATGATTTCTCGGCTGTTGACGGCGCGCTCGCAGAGAATCCGAGTGGCAACCTCGCGAATGTTGTAGCTCGGGTACTCCAGAAGCCTCTCAAGCGTGTCAAGCCCAAGGGAGTCCTCGGTGTCCTGGGTGATGTAACGCGTCTTGGGCTGCTGGATGGGGATGATGTTCTCATCGCGGATTATGGCCAAGGCGGCTGTCATGGTGGTGACGATGCCAAAGCTGGCGAGCCCGATACCAACCAGGATGACGCGCTCATCTCGCAGCAGAGATCTAAAGCTACTGATCCAACTCATGATGCAAAGCACGATGGACCAAGAATGGCCTTTTCAGCAAAAGAAGAGTCTAAGCATAGATGGTCCAGGTTGATATGGATGCGTTGGGTAGATGGCCATCCATGAATAAGACATACGTACACGCTCTACAAAGTAAGTTTGACAGCTAACAAGCAAGCGCTACAGTACAGTGGCAGGTACCTACTAAGGTACCTGGGATGAGAGCCCATGTCACTTCCGATGTTTTGAGCTGCACTTGCCCCACCTACCCGCTAGGCCTAGCACCCAACCTACCCTACATTAACCTACTACCGTGTGATACTGATCCATGGCTGCTTCCCTAAACCATCAACAGCAAAACATCTATTCACACCCCAACTTCGTTTAATTGCGAGAGCGAGCCTCTCTAACTGAACGACGCTTTCTCAACAGCACACTTCCTAGCTTAACCATTGGCACTCTCTCACGGGAATTGCAATTAGGCATCTATTTACATTACTTTATTCCCATACTCATTCGTCAGTCAGCAGCGTAAACGAGACTCGCTTGGTCACGTCTGTCCGCTGTACAATCTATGGAGTAGCGGTGGGGGCGGGCGTAGGCGTGGCTGAAGGAGTCAGCGAGCTAGCACCAGGTGTCGAGCAGACACAGCCTTGAGCAGCATTGCTGGTAAGGGGAGGCGATGTGCAGGTGGAGTATGGTTCGAGGGCAACATAGGTAGGCTCTGGCTGGAGGGAGACAACCTCGGCCTTGACGAGAACGGGGATGATCTGCCCAGTGGACAGACGGAAAGAACGGTGGTTCAGGACCCTGAGAAGGCTGGTGATTTCTCCAGAGTGGCTGGTGATGCTAAGCCATGTCTTGTCGTCCTGGCGGAAGACATCATCGAGGGCCTCCTTGGAACGAACGTCCTGGGCAGCGCTGGTCTCGGCGAGGGAGCTGTGCCAGAGTTCATCGTTCTCGGTGAAACCGGCCTCGAACTTGAACCAGGGGAACATATTCTGGATATAAGTCTTGGTCGAGCGACGGTTGCAGGTATGGATGGTCATGCCCTCACGGAAACCCTCCTTGACAGTGGGGACAAAAGGCTTGTCCTGGGGAACGGTGATATCGCCGAAGGTCAAGTTGGCCGTAATAGTGCATCGGCTCAGAGGACTGGAATAGTATGACTCGAAATACGGCATCTTCTGGGTCGCATATCTATCCTTGAAGTAGGCATTGGCCTTGTAGGCCTCCTCCAGTCCAGCAGGGGTGAGGAGGGGGTCGCTCCAGATGGCAGTTCCATTGCCTTCCTGCTCAGCCCAGTAGCACTAAGGAAGACCCTATATGTTAGCAAACCCGCGCCAACATGAAGTGTTTCGGAATTGGTAATGCTCACGTTCCAAGCTGGAGTCCCGTAGAAGGTCTCGGCGGCGTTGTGCCAACCCTCGCCATGGCGGCCCATGAAAAGAAGCTTGTAGCGGACATTGGGGTCCTTGTTGCAGGCCTTGGTGAGCTTCGTGATGTAGCGCTCGAACCGCTGCCACTGGCTCTTGACGCCTTCCGGGTCAAAACGCTTATCAGTAGAGTAGGTCCTGTTGATGAGACCGAAATTCTGCTTGGCCTATGGGGTGGTTTTGTATTAGACAACCATTTCGAACCAGAAGCAAGCTCTGTTGACAGGACCTCTCACTCACATAGTCAAATCCAGTTGGGTTAGTGGCACTATCATCTTGGAGGAAGAAGCCAGGAACGGCGGAGTAAACGATCGACTTGCCCTCTGCTTCAGACCAAACTGCCTGAGCAGGGGAGATTAGAGCGAGGGCTGCTGTGAGAAGAAAGCCCTTCATTTTGGGTGTTTGGCGTAAAAGGCGTAAGACGGGTAGTACGGCCCAATAAATGAGTGAAGAGTAAAAGGCAATTAAGGAATGTAAGGCGATTACAGAATCAGCCAGATGAACAAGAAGATCTGCACGACGAAAGAACACACCAATCAAGCCAGAAGGAGGCCTAGCGAGGGGAGTGCTTAATATACTCGTGCATTGAAGATCGGCCAGGCGTAGTCAGTTTGCTCATGAGCACACTCATTTCATCTCATTTCGGTTCAACATCTCACAACGGCCGTGGCATCTCCACCGTCCCCGATTTCTGGCAGGTTTCTGGATCGGTCCAGTTGCGGTATTGGGGCCGCACCCATGCCGATGCCAATCATTCATCAACGTGGTTCGTCGAGGTACGAATCTTTATCCTTCTTCGGCCCCGGCCCCACTACCCTAAACCAATTCCCAGTTGATCCAGGCACCCGGAGACACCACCCATCTAAACACCATCCTAATTGATTTTCGGCTGCAGAAGACACTTCAAATTTATGCTTAGTTGGTCGATTGATTAAGGCAGCCGATCGTGGCGGTTACGCCAAGGCATGTGTCCCTCAGAGTACGGCTAAAGTGGCATTAATCCGGAGACAGACTTGTCTAAGCGGCAGATGACGAGCATTCTCTCTACCCATTCTCAGATTTCTCTCTATCGGTCAACTTCCCAGCACAAGAACGCCCGTTCAATTAGCCAACGGACCAGCTTACGGGAATGGGTTAATCACGCATGATCTCAATCCCTTCCACCCACATTTCTGGGTGATTCCGCCCCCACGTGGTCACAACCTACCTTTGACTCTACGTTATATGCATATTATGTTACTAGCCAACAACACGAGAAATATCTCCACTAACCGATTGCTACCGGTGACAGACTATCAACTATTGCCTGGGAAGTGCCGGAGGGTGGCACCTAATATTTAGACCAAAAGTTCATGTGGGCATAGCATGTCACAAGCAAATAGCTTCATCGGAGATGGCCCGACGACCTAGAATGATATCACCAAAGAAGAGAGTACATGAAAAAGGATGGAGAGAAAAAATACCTATTTGGAATGGATTGCTATGGTTCTTGCTCTATGGGACGAGGTAAGTCTAAAGGCATCAAAGCAGGTGGAGTTAGTCAATCCGCTAGGTGACCAACCGATGCCGAAGCCAACTAATGATGGCTATTCAGCCGATATGGAAGATATGCATGAAATTTACCTTTTGAGGTCGGAGGATGGATGCTGACTTACACATGTCAGTGGACATTAAAATACCGCCATTCTTTTTGTCGCCTTTCAACGGCCCCACCAGTAGCTGGATGGGGACCAAAAAAAAGTTGTTATCGATAAGCATGCCAAAGAAAATTCATAGCCAATCCGTCCGTTTGCCAAAGTTAGAGCGAAGACCTATCGTCGTCCACTGCGCTCGACCTACTTTTCAATTAAGATGGCGGGCTCCCAGCTCAAGCGCCTCAAGGCGACATTGAAGGAGCAAGGAATTGTTGGGCCCCAGCAGTCGAAGAAGCAGAAGCGCAAGGCAGCCCAAGATGATCGCGCCCGAAGCGAGAAGCGACTACAGAGGGGTGTAGTCCTCGAAGGCATCCGCGAACAGTTCAACCCTTTCGATCTCAAGCATGCCAAGAATCCCAAATTCGAGGTCACTACAAACCGCCCGGTCACTGCCGCCTCCAGGATCAAAGGCCGTCCCGGCGCCGCCAAGGCTGCGAGCGAAGAAAGGCGGCGGCAGACTCTTCTTGTCGACATGCAGCGACGTCACAAAGTTGGAGGCATTCTGGATCGACGCTTCGGCGAGAATGACCCGACCATGGCCCCTGAGGAGAAAATGCTGGAGCGATTTGCACGGGAAAAGCTCAAAACCCACAAAAAGAATTCCATGTTCGATCTCGAGGATGACGACGATGACGCTTTTCCCGGAGAGGGTCTGACCCACGGCGGAAAAGCGCTGACGTTTGATGAAATGGAGGCAATGGACGACTACGAGGAGGATGACATTGATGACGGCGCCAGTGATATCTCTGAGCGCGAGATGCAGCGTCTCAAGCGAGTAAGAGCCATGGCCGCAGAGGGTGACATGGATCAAGACGACCAACCCGAGCGGAAGAAGTCGAAGAAGGAGGTTATGGAGGAAGTCATTGCCAAGTCCAAACTGCATAGGTACGAGAGGCAAGCCGCAAAGGAGGTGGATGAGGATCTACGAGTCGAACTTGACAAAGAGTTACACGGCATCCAGCACCTTTTGACTCAGAGCTCAAAGCGCCAGACCGAAGAAAAGCCCCAGCCTTCTGCTATCGCAGGTGTGGAGAGAAGTGTATTTGACAAAGACTTCGACCTCCAGGTGAAGAAGCTTGCCCAAGACAAGAGGGCGAAACCCTCTGATCGTACTAAGACCGAGGAGGAAAAGGCAGAGGACGAGTCCAACCGGCTGAAGGAACTCGAGGAGAAGCGACAGAAACGAATGAGGGGCGAACCTGTCTCTGACAGCGATGATCAGGGTGAGGACGAGGACGAAGAAATGGGCTCTGACGGCTCGCAGGCTGGTGACGATTCAGAAGACGACTTTGGCCTTGGTAGCGGCATCAACGCAAAGCCAACCGCTGCAGAGCTTGGCTTTGACGATGAGGATGATTTCCTCATCGATGACGATCTGGTCGCCAGTGGTTCTGATATCGACTCCGACGAAGAACTTGACCTAGGCTCGGATATGGGTGCCGAAGAAGACGAGAGCGAGGAAGAGGAAGAAGAGGACGAATTTACAAAAGGTCTATTGAACGAGGAAGAAACAAGAAACCCTGTCTTCAGCATAGACTCTACAACAAAGTCAGCCGATGTTGAGAAGGGAGATGAGAACGGCTTGCCTTATACCTTCCCTTGCCCACAATCCCTCGAAGAATTTCAATCTGCCACAGCCTCATATCCTCGCAACAGCCTACCTACAATTGTCCAACGGATCAGAGCTCTATATCACCCCAAGCTGGACAGCAAAAACAAGGAGCGTCTTGGGAAGTTTTCCGCCACTCTAGTTGCCTTCATCTCATCGCCTTGGGAGCCGGAGACCTCCCCCCCTTTTCGGTACTGGAAAGCCTCATTCGTCATATCCACTCCCTTGCAAAGAGCTTCCCTCTTGAAATTGCTCAGGAATTCCGAGCACAGATCGAAGAGATCAGCAATGAACGCCCACTGGCGATCCAGCCCGGGGATCTCATCCTTCTGACTGCTGTGGGAACCATCTTTCCCACATCCGACCACTTCCACCAAGTCGTTACTCCCGCCATGCTGGTCATTGCCAGGTATCTGGGGCAAAAAGTTCCCCAGGACCTCGCTGATCATGCTATCGGGTCCTACCTCTCTATTTTGACCCTCCAGTACCAGAAACTCGCGAAGAGATATGTACCAGAAGTGTTAAACTTTGCATTGAACACGCTCTGTGCCCTTGCCCCAATTTCCCCATCAGCTGGCGTAGGCTCTTTCCCTCGACATGATTCTCCTGCAAGTCTCCGCGCAAAAGGTGCCAGCCAGGTATCAGTCCGGAAGCTGGGCTTCTCAGACTGTTTACACTCAGACAGCTCCCCCGCAGAAGTCAAGGTTGCTATCCTAAATACTGTCTCCCAGATTTCCGATGCTGCGGCCGACACATGGTCCAGCAGAGGCGCGTTCATCGAAACCTTTGGGCAGGTCCTTGAGGTCATCAAGCATCTGAACGCCAAGGCCTGCCGCTCCCACCTCCCCACAGAGCTGCGCGATCGGACCGAAAAGCTCCAAGTGAAGCTAGAGCGCATGATGAAGATCTCAGGGATCTCCCGACGGCCCCTCGAGCTCCACCACCACAAGCCATTGGCCATCAAGACATACGTGCCCAAGTTCGAGGAGACGTTCGACCCGGACAAGCACTACGACCCGGACCGCGAGAGAGCAGAGCTGGCGAAGCTCAAGGCGGAACACAAGAGGGAGCGCAAGGGGGCGATGCGGGAGCTTCGCAAGGATGCCAACTTCATGGCCCGGGAGAACCTGCGGATCAAGAAGGCAAAGGACGAGGCCTACGAGAAGAAGTACAAGAGGCTCGTGGCGGAGATTCAGAGCGAGGAGGGACGCGAGGCCAATGCGTACGAGAGGGAAAAGGCAGCAAGGAAGCGCTCGAGAAACAGGTAGACAGCCCGTGCATGGAAGGAAAAAATTCCAGTCTTATAGCTTCAACTTCATTGGCATACTGCATATTACTATATCCGTTTCTAGAATTATTCCACCCGCGTATTTCATGAAAGGTAGTGCAAGTGAGGATCATGTTAAAAAGAGTGACGCAGTAAACACACATCGTAAGCCTAATAACAAAATTCGTAGCCAATAAGATTAGTTTTCAAGCAGAACAACAAGGCATACTCTGATGAATGGGTGCCTGTCGTTGTCTTTGGACATGGAAGGTCTAAGTGAGGCTATCTGCTGACCTAATATGAGCGACTGCCTAAAACAAGCTCTGGTCCAGCTTTTTACAAGATGAACGACAACCTGGACAACACAGCCCAAGAAATCTCATAATATATGCTTTACACGGGTTTCCTTGAAAATCGTCAAATTCATATCGACTTGATTCCCCATGGCGCCCACTCTGTCACAGTCTGGCGAGTCCAGACCGCCAATTGACAATGAAGAAGAGGATGAGGATGACTACATGAATATGACATTTGAGGATCCCACGCCAGCAAAGGAGACTTCGATGCAGCGCACCCAACGTCTCAAAAAGGAGTCACTTGCTCGGGGGATTATAAAATCCAAGGCACAGCTCGCCGAGGAAGAGGCCGCAGCACGTGAAAAGGCGCTGTCCACCTCTATGCTGGATGATCCGCGAGCGAAGAAGAGCAAAGGTCTGGCGATGATGGCCAAGATGGGCTTCGCTGGCGGTAGTCTGGGGAAGAAGGCCGAGGATGGTCAGAGCCAGGCGCGGGCGGAACCGATCAAGGTCGATATCAAGGGAGACCGCGGAGGCATTGGCCTGGACGCTGAGAAGAAGAGGAAGTTTCAGGAAGCGCAGGAGGAGAGAGGCACCAAGAGCGTCAAAATAGACCCCCTGGAGTACAGGGACAGAGTCAGGAAAGAGAGGGAAGAGGCCAGGATGGAAAAGCAGTTCTACGCCGGCCAGAGACTAGCCGAAAATCTGGACGACGAGCAGTCATCAAAGGACAACGCGGGAACAGACGCCACAGCCTCTGATTCAACACCTTCACATAGGGATAAGGAAGCATCGGCCACGCATGTACCGATGGCTAGTCGGCCTCTGAAGGCCATTCCGGTTCTTTACCGTAGCCTTATCCGTCACCGCGCAGAGAAAGAACGCGATCGGCGCATGCGGTATGACCTGGAACAATCTCTCTCGCGGCTACCAACGTATGAGGACGAGGACGAGGACGAGGATGCAAAGATGGCATTAGGGAAAGGGCGGCAGGAGTACGTCACGAGCGAAGATTTGGACGAGGAGGATGAAGAGCTAGATGATTTCAACACACTGGAGATTTCTGAGCGCCTGCGCCGTCTTCTAGACTATCTCCGCTCACATCATAACTATTGCTTTTGGTGTAAGGCCGCCTGTCCGACCTCCGAGATGGAAGGCTGCCCAGGGTTGGCAGAAGAGGACCATGACTAAATCAGACTTCGAAACCACAAATTCCAACGAAAGACTGTAACTGAAACAAACTTGAATCGCGCCACCGAATATCACTTTTCAACGGATCGAATCACAACCGCCGCACAGAGTTTGAGCCCATATGCTTCTACTCAGCTCCATCTAGATCTCCAGATCCAAAACTCGTGCCTCATAAACCACAATTCGGTCACCATAACTGTCATCATGGCCATCTGCGTTCCCGATTTTGGTCAGAACCGGAGTTACCGTATAGAGCTTGTCGCCTGGGGCCCCAAAGTAGAGTCGATCCATCTCCTCATCAGTCAGTCCAGCAGGCTCTGTGAGCTTCACGGTGAACAGGGCTTTGGATCTCATGAAGATCGTCTGGAGCTCAACCGCCTTGTCGACAATTGCCAGAATCTGTCCCTTGCAGTAGTCCTCCTTGCCCTCGGTAGCAAGGGGTAAAAGCTTGGATGCAATATCATCGGCGAGGCGTGTTTTGGCCTCGTCATCAACCCCCAAAATGTCGAAGAGCTCGTGTGCTGTCTCGGACTTGATCCACCCATAAGTTTGGCCATTGGATGGGTCTTTGATACATTGCTCTACCAAGAAAACGTGTTAGAGACAGCACAGCAGACTTTCCAGGCGTTTGGAAAGACCGATTAACTTACCAGTGATAGCCACTCGCCACGTGTTGATAGTAGATGACATGTGTGCACACCAGATCCCACCGGCGCCTTTGAATATGGCTCTGTAGAGTCCGGTCCAAATGAATCGCTGCATAAATCCATGCCTCTTGCGAGGGTACTCTCTCATAAGGGCCATGAAATCCGGCTCGTCTGGGCTGGCCTCCTTCGGTGGTGGTGTCTTGAGCTGGCCGAGGCACATATTCTGGATTGTAAATGCCAACCGTGTCCATTGTCGTTGGATCTCATCATCACACCAATTTCGGTACTTGTCTCGTGACTTGTCAAGTCGGTTGGAAAGAAGTTCATGGTCCACCCCAATCCTCTCGATGAGGTCCTCAAGGCCCTCTTTTCGGATCTGTAGCTCTTGATTCTTTTCCTTCAGATCCCGGATTTCCTCATTCAACTGCGCAACGAGATAGTTGGAGGCAGGACTCTTCAAGGCTTCAATCTCTTTCTTCTGCTCTTTGATGACCTCAGTCAGCTTGTTGACTCCGCCGTTGATTTCTTCAGCAACCCGATCGACACTCTTGCCGGTGTTGATCTTGATCCGTTTAGGAGGTGACTGGCCATCGCCGGGTCCCAAACCCGAGCGCTGGCCTCGCTTCGCCTGGACATCCTGCTGCCTCTTGTTTTGGCGAGGCTGTGGTTTGGCATTTGAACCGGAAACCTGTTCGTTGCTCGCTTCATGTTGCCTTTTTTTGCTGTTCTTGCGGGAACTCTTCACAGGGGTAGCTCCAGAGCGGTAATCCGAGTCGGCTTCGTGGGTACTCTCTGGGGATGAAGAAGAAGCATCGTCCTCTCGTCGCTCCACTGCATTTGGCTGCGGGGTCTCGGGGACCTCATCAGTGATACCACGAACTGATGACATGGCTGAGATCTAGGGGCCAGCCCAGGAGAAACTCTATATGTGTGTGTGGGATGCTGGGGATGACACGAGTTGAAGAAAAACGGGGGAGCGAACAGAAGGCTTGTAGAAATGATCCAGATGGTGTGTGTGTGTAGATGATGAAGTTTGTCTTGCGTGGTGAGTTGCGAGGGGAGCCGGTTGTTTATATAGTGAGAGGTACGTACCTTCTCTTATTGTGCTCCCGCCCATCTGATTATTCTTCAGCCTGCTCCATTGTGATTCAATCCCATCCATTATGCTTCTATTCAACTCCAGCCACTTCTATTGCGCTTCAGTCGCTTCTATTGAGACCAGACCTGCTGCATTGTTCGTGGCCAACCGAACGGATGGAGCGGCTGAGGGCTGCTCTACTCACTTTTCTCTCACCATGAAAGCTCAACAAGCGAGGTACACTGGTACCTCGGGGGCAACTGACGGGCCAAACTGACAACAATCTCACTTACTCTTCTCTTCTCCTCCAAGTTTGTTGTTTATCCAACATCCACCTCTTCATCGTACCTTCCGTTGAACAACTCCCCCACACATCTCTCCTCATCAAACAGAACTTCCTCTTCTCACCAAACAAAACTTCCTCTTCTCGTCAAACAGAGCCGCGACTCTCACTTCCACTTCCTCGATTTGTTCGAAAGCCCGTGATCCGGAAGATTCCTCCTTTCTTCCTTGCAAATTCCACGTTCTTTTCCCCAACCGCCAAGATGCCGCCGAAAAGAAAGGCTAGCCCTGGCCCTGACGCAGACCATACCTCTAAAGGCAACTGTTCCAAATATATTGTGATAGGGATCGATTTTGGCACAACGTAAGTACATTTTCTCCTCTTCATGGACAGTATCTCCACTAACCTCACTCCAGATATTCCGGTGTTTCATGGGCCCGAGACGCGAGACCTGATGCTCTCAACATGGTCTCAAGCTGGGACGGACCCATGTACACAAAGTGTCACAATAAACGACAAGTGCCGACCACCATATGCTATAATTCTTGGGGCCGACCGTCAGCGTGGGGATATGCCGTCCCTCCAACACAGAAACCCTTGAAATGGTTCAAACTACTTTTGCTCGACAGTGACCACCTCCCAGATCACTTTCGTCATGCGCCCAAGTTGATTGAAGCACAAGCTCAGATGAAAGAGATGAACAAGAGTCCTGTGGATGTCATCGCAGACTACCTGCGCCTGCTTTGGGCTCACACCCTGACGCAGATATCGAAGGCCGTCAGTTCTGTCGCCCTAGCCAGATTGAAGCTCAAGGTAGTTGTTACCATGCCCGCCATTTGGCCACCATACGCGCAGTTAAGAATGAAGGAAGCCGTAAAGATGGCTGGGATTCTAGATCCCAGATCTGCTGGCCAGACTTCCTTGTCGTTCATGTCAGAGCCGGAGGCTGCGGCTCTCGCAGCCCTGGCCGATGTGGATGGACAAACAATCATCGAGGTAAGGGAGAACACAGAGCAGTACAAAATTTCTTTACCGCGTTCAAATTCATCTAACAAAGCCAGGAACAATCTGAATTTGTCGTATGCGATGCTGGTGGTGGAACAGTGGTGAGTACCAAATGGCATTGTTCGCTTCACCACCTTATGATTGAGTTGATTTCGCTGACCCAATGGCATCCCAATAGGATTTGATCACCTATAAAATGATACAGAATGACCCGATGATTGTTGAGGAATGCGTTAAAGGAGACGGTAATTTTCCCCTCACACGATACAGTTCGAATTTCAAGCTGCCTTGCAATTCGTCACCTGGCGAAGTACTATGGCTAACCACTCGTGAAAATGACAGGCAATCTTTGCGGAGCTGCTGTACTAGATGAGAGGTTCGAGCAGGTTTTCCGGCGCTACTTACCAGAGAATGCTTACGATCAGCTGGATACAAACACTTTGGCCCGAATGTTGCAAGTTGATTGGGAAGATGGGATGAAGGCAGGATTTACTGGCCTGGAACATGAAGCTTACACCATGCTCATACCCTCCGGCTGCGGTATAAAAGGCATGCCGGACGAGGTCGATATCACTCCGTGAGTATTATTTATCCTGAATAACTTCCTACTGCTGTGCTGAGAGGGAACACTGACAAACAACAGAGACAACCTCAGGGAGATATATGAACCTGTAGCAGCAAGTTGTGCAGAACTCCTCAGCAAACAGATGCAAGAAGTAAAGAAGATTCGTAAACGGGAGCCAAAGGTGAGATCTGACTTGCTTCGATCAAATTCTGTTTTTCAATATGCATATTTCTGACGCATGGACAGTTTATCATTCTAGTGGGTGGCTTGGGCAGTAGCCGTTTCCTCTACCGATACCTTGAAAATGCGTTCCAAGATACGGATATCATTCAGGCTAGGGGAGACGAACCGTAAGTTACTCAATTTCCCAGACCGCTTAGAAGATACATGACATTCTAGGATGAGAGATGGGTTGAGAAGATAGGCTAACAATATTCGCTTTGAATGACAGATGGACCGCCGTCGCCCGCGGAGCCGTAATTCAGGGTCTTTTCGCAACTGGGGCTCCTCCAGTAATGTCTATCAAGTCCCGAATTGCCAGAGCCAGCTATGGCACCACGGTGAATATCATCCCATGGGATGCGTCAGAACACGATTCCCGAGACAGACTCTGGTGCCCAATACAGCAAAACTTTCTCGCTGTTAGTCAGACGCAGTGGTTTCTTCGAATTGTGAGTGGCGAGCTGGTGAAGATGAACATCATGAGCAGTAGCAGTGGCTAATACAAAACACAGGGTGATCCAATCTCTGATGAACCGTGCCGGGCAAGTTTCTGGCAAGATTTTACCGAGCCTGACACGGAAATCAAGACAGAACTGGTATACTCGGAGGCGGAAGTACCACCCTCTCGGTGCGATGATTCAGTGAAGCAACTCTGCGAGATCAAATGGGAGAGGATCCCTGGCTTCAACACTCTCCCGCTATGGACAAACACTGAAGGACAGGAGCTGCGACAGCTCGTCTACGAGTTGCAGATGGCATCGGACGGTGTGTCTTTGGACTTTGCCATCGTGCACAAAGGCAAGCGAGTGGTATCCAAGAACGTGTCCGTGGACTTTGAGAAGGTGTCACAACCTGTTGAGTGATCCATGGCAACTGGCAATGCAGTGCTCCGGTGTCGAGGGGGCGTCAAAAAGAAGAGCACATCGACGAGAAACATGGTTTGGGGATATTTGGAAGACAACTAGCTGCTGTTTGTCAAGCCACACCACCGTTTGGGATTGAGCTGTCGGAATGAAGAGCAGGTCAACGCCATGTCAACTAGGAACATGGTTGAGGATGTTTGGAAGACAACTTGCTACAGTTTGTCAAGCCAACACCACCGTTTGGGGTTGAGATTCGGAAAGAATTGCATGTCAACGAGAAAGATGGCACGATGTATTTGGAAGACAGCTCAACACAACATTACTTGCTAGATAGCCCTATGAAATGAGGACACACCTGAAGATCTATTCGAGGCTCCCAGAAGTCCCTTTATTGAGTTTCATACTGTCGACCCAAAGGCCTCTTGCATCGGCAATCTTAGTGGCCACTTTCGCGAAATACGCAGTAAGCTAACGTTTCGGCTTTACGCCCACTCTAATAATAATCGCCAGTAATAAGATGACTTCTTATTACTACTAGGCAGCCCTACATGCAAGCTTGGCATTCCTTTTCCGGGCAGAATTTCATGCCTAGCCCAATCCGCCTCTAGCAGCTGATCCGACCCAGCTCATGACATTACTCTAAGGCCCAGGCGTTGGGGCTTGGCTCTTGGCAATGCACGCTGAAGGGACTTTTTCCAGGGGTGTGGCCTTCAGCTGTGCCAAATCCTCCCGATCGTCTTTCTCGCCATTCGTTCATTTTATTTTCGGTCGAGGCGCAGTTTGAGTCTTTCGTTTTTCCTTTAGCTGGCCGTTGAAGGCACCTCCCGTCCGCTTCTTTTCCCCTCTAATAATTGTTGGACTTTCGCTCATTTCTGTCCTTCGTTGGTTGAGGAGTTGGCTCTCATTGCGACAGAGGGTAACTAATTCGTCTAATTAATATCTTTCCAGTCGCGTTCACTCATTTTCACGCTGATTCACCCTTCTGGCCGTCGCTCAAACAGCAGCACACAGCAACAATGTCGCAGCCAACCCAGATCATGGCTCCTCAGCAGCTGCCGCCTCCTCATGTCTCGCCCAAGAAGACATGGGGCACCAAGCTTGGCTTCCGGATAGCTTCATTCATCTTCTGCATCATCATCATTGGCCTCTCTGCCTACCAGGCTACTTCCCGTTTCTCTGGGGTTTATGCGCTTGTGTTCATGTTGCCTCCGGTTAGTACATCCTGACTCTCCTAGGCACGCTTTATAGGGAATGTCTAGCTAACAACTTCACTCAGGCCGCGTTCTCAGCAATCTGGAACGTTGCGGAGGGCATCTGTATTCTGGTCCGTCGAGGACGTCGAGGCATGCACCCTGCAGCCATCGTCAGCATCGATCTTCTGGTGTGGCTCGCCTACGTTGCCCTCACCGTTACGTACGCCCTGTTCGGGTGGTACGATGACTATTACTACTCCTACTACTACGACTCGTACAATTCACGATACAACAGTGGCTCGCCCGCCATCATCCAAGCCCTAGTGGCGTTCGGAGCTCTTGAAGTGTATGTCAAAACCTCCCCCCTTCCCTTCCCCCCACCAAGAAAAGCAGCCGATCGGGATTCTCACGATGCTAACACACTACGTCTCCCTTGCAGTATCTGCCACTTCAGCCTGTTCGTCATCGGCTGCGTCGAGACCAACATCCGCAACAACTCCCCTCCCCAGATCGTCTACTACGCCGCTCCCCCCGGCATGCAGGTCGTTCCCTTCCCGCCCAACGGCGCCTTCCCCGCCCCTGGCCAGGCCGTTGAGATCCCCCAGAACGCCTACTTCCAGCCTCCCGTGAACGGCTCCTATCCCCAGCAGCCGCACTACTCTTGGGCTCCGGCCCCAGCGCCCGCCGGCGTGTCTCCCCAGTCGAACCCTGCCGTGCCACACAAGGAGGGACCTTGAGTGGTGGTCTGTATAGCCTGTTATGAGCCCCCGGTTTAAGCTTTTTTGGATATTTTCGAGGATGAAGGGTCGGGAGAATGGCTAGTGCGCGAGTTTGGTTTTTAATTTTGCGTAATCAAGATCTGGTTTAGCTTTTCTACGATGTCACCTCGTTATGCGAGAGTAAATATATGAGAGATACCCTTTTATAGTCCCGCGTTTCTTCTCAATACCATACTATATGAAAGGTTCACCGTCTGTGCTATCATGTTGATAGTATAGTTTGAGAGCAACAGTGCCGGCCGTCTCCTGAGCGGCAACAATTTCGACAACCCCCAAAAGAACCAACAAAAGGGCTTGTTAAACCATGGGAAAGAAGATAAATCAAATCATAGACAGTGAACATGAGAGGTCAAGGCATATATTTTGAAAACTTTTCATCTAGTAACAACTCCTAATCATAAGTGGTATAGATAAAACCATAGCAAGTGAACGCCACCGCTCCCGGGCCGACCAAGTCACAATCGATCCTCCACCACATAGTGCAAGATGGGGGATAGAAAGGTTTAGTTTGTTCCAGTACTCAAAACCAGAAGAGGGGGGTGGGGAGCTTTTCAACAGCTCAAAAGTGGCCAACATGGACCGAGCCTAACTGAAAGCGGTATTGGGTTCCCGTGTAAACTGAACATTTACCTCTTCTTTCCCTTTCTCTTGTTGGCCTTGCCTGCTTGCTGGGCACCGGTTGTCTTTGCCTTGCTGAGAGAGTCGGTGCTCTTCTCGAGAAGCTCGAAGTCCTCACCGGCAGAGTCCGTTCCGGGGGTGTGCTGAGGATCATCCGAGTCGTCATCGATATCAAACTCCACCTCCTGTTTGGCGGCGGGCTTGGGGAGAAAGCGTCCGATGGTGGTGTTGAAAGCCCAGGCAGGCACACGCACAACAGCGGTGTCGAACACAGTAGGCTGAGCCAGCTCCTCAGGCTAGATGGAACAATTTGTTAGTATCCATGATTAGGGTGGAAAGCGGACATTGTGGAATACTCACGTCGAGGAGAAACTCGTTCACAATACCATCCTCGTCCTCTTCTTCCAGGTAGACGTTACCGACGGAGTCAACGACGAGAATCTTGCCATTCTCGGCCACAACCCTCTTACGGGCGGCAGTTGGCGCGGTGGAGGGGTCGCGGGAAACGCTGGCGCTCTTGGCCTTGCGGGCCTTCTTGCCGGTAACGCGAGCATCCTCCTTCTTGGACTCTCTCTCCTGGAGGCGTCTTTGCTTCCTGTTCATGGGCTGGGGTGGGCCATCCTCTTCATCATCTTCCTCGACTTCTGGGACAGGAGTAGGCTCGAGAACGGGGATGACAAACCCCTTGCCCCAGGCGGTCTCGCGTGCATACTTGACGTAGCGGCCCACAAACTCCTTCTGGCGTTTCCAGCTCATGTAGAGGATAAGATAGTGGATCGCGCCGCCTCCCACGAGGAAAACGCCAAAGATGGCTGTGCCCAGGCCGGGGCGGTAGCGGTCGTAGTAGTAGTCGGTGCCCTTCCAGAGCGGGAAGCCGTTGTTGAGGAAATGATCGTAACGATCGCGTTCGGGGCCCTTGAGGATGTTGACGATGAGGGAGAGGCGAGCCTGGCGCTCAGAGGCGCGCTTGACCGCCGCGGCGAGCTCACTCTTGGTGGGGGGTTTGGCGTTGGGGTTCTTCTTCTTCTTGGCCTTGAGATGCTGCTTCACCTTGTCGGGGTGCAGCGTCTTGGTCTTCTGGCGGTAGGCCTTGGTGATGTCGTCCTGGCTGGCGTGCGGGCTGATGCCCAGGATGTCGTAAAAGGTGCCCGGGGAGTCGGGCTCATGGTTGATGAGCTCATCGCGAATGCGGAAAATCTCGCGATCTGTAGCAGGTGGAGGGAGCACAGGTTAGTCGGAAGTTCAGTCTTATCCTCTGCGTATCTTGCGGAAAACGCGCGCTGCATCTGGGGGATGCGGCGACAAGCTCGCGATTCTTCAGATTGAAGCACGATGAGGAATAGGAGTATCGGCCTAGGAATAATATTAATTTCCACGCACCTTCTGTACTCCAGGCAGCCACGAGAGGGCTCAGCATGGCCAGAAGGCCAATTGAAACAAAGGAGACCTTCATGATGGCGTCGCCTCTTGACGAGGAAGAGATGTGAAAAAAAGTGTTGCGGGTTGCTCTGATTTTTGATAACACCTAATACATATGTTCTGCGGCTAGTGGCTGCTAACAACTGGGTGGGTTTCTATTTCAGGATCATCGACCCCCGTAATCAAGCCCCTCCCCACTGTCTAAGAATTGGAGAGTGAGCTCCTTCACCACATCAGCCTAGACGAGCCAGAGGGCCTCTTACTGTATTTCTGCTATATTAGGAAACGGCTCCATACTATTCTTACCCGCCATGCTCACTCTGTTCAGCCCAACATCACACAAACTGGCCACGTTACGCAATAGTACCATTGATGAGAGTTTGGCTGGCTAAACCAAGGGTCCTTCCCCTCCAAGATGTTACTGGTCGCCTTACCCTGTAGAGAAGCATCGTGAATATTCGTCCCAGAGTGGCATGATGAAATGACGGTCATATTACTGCCGTGGCCTTGACTTCCGTGAATATGAACAGTATTGATTTGTTCATATGATACAACCAGAAAACATTGATGGCTGTGCATTTCCTAATGCTCCAGCTGGATACTATGCACTCTCTTGTGAACAATAACGAAGGATGGTTGCGTTGACTTGTCGCTTGTGCCGTGTGTTACAAATTCCTGGTACAATATTTGTAGTTGAAAATAAAAACCATCTACCTAGGAGGGCATAACTAGACCTGAACCTTCACAATCCTTTTAATCATGAGCAGACAAGAACACGGGCAATAATACAAAAAAAAAAAAAAAAAAAACGAACGCTAGCAATTCTACGTTTCGATCGTAGGACCTCCGGGTTATGAGCCCGGCTGGGAGATATTAGTTTTGGGTTCCAAGTGATGAGTAATTCAGAATTGACTTACCGCGCTTCCACTGCGCCAAATTGCTTTCAGGCGTTGAGGAGGTGCCCACTATTTGGACATACCCAGCTAACGCAGCTCGCCGCCATGCAAACCGGCAGTCATATCTGAGCACAGCAACAACCCAACAATATGCGCTACCATGATACAGTCTCGATATCATTGAAAGTAGATTCGGCGGTGGGCGCCAGTGGATACCCAGGGGAAAATGACACTTTCCTGTTGATGTGCATCAGTAAAGGGGATGGAAGTTGCTCGGCTGCCTAATCCATTCAAGTAAGGGGGCAGATGACGACCGACCTCATATTCGACCAGTGGCAGAGTAAAATTGGGCATTTCGTTACCGACACTTCTTCGCCAATAGCTTTGAGGAGGCTGCTTGTTGGAGGCGGCACTTGACATTAATGCCAACGCCCTCCGAACGTTGGTATCAGATACATTAAAGCAAGTTCCTGATATCCGATAAACGAATCTCCTGGCTCATTTGGCCCAGAATGTAAGCACCTGGCGCCCAGAGATACTATACCACACCAGCTTTCTGGGAGTTGCGTCGAAACTCAGGCTCGCGGTAATCACGAATGTCAATCAAGTGACATCGGAAAGGTTCGAGACTAGTTGATGATAAGGGAGCAAGGGGAACAAAACCATCGACCCCGTTAATGATCCTCCCTAGGGTTGCAGGCCGGCATCAGAGATCCTTGAACGTTCAAATCTCCCATCATTAAATGTGTGGCGCCCGCCTGTCGGGACTGTGGCTGCGGCTGGATAAGGGAGGTGCGAAGGGAAAAGAAATACTTTAAAAATCCCGAAGAGCTAGAACATGGAAGGTGTCTAATTGTTAATTACGCGAGGTGCCTAGGCTATGGGGGCATTATCAAGCCACGGCTCAAACATGTGTTAGACATCCGTACCGCAAGCCAAACCCAACATTCCAGAAAACCCCAAGAGATCGATCGCATTAGTGCTTTAGCGCAAGTACAACTGTGGCGTTGTTACACAATTTCGACCTCTGCTTGACCGAGCTGTCTCGCATTGGGAGATTAAGGTGCAAAATGTGGCTGTCGTCTCAAGTATTTCTACTGCATTGATGGAAGCATGGACAATGGTGGGTCACTGTCATCTTAGATCGTCAAGTCTATCTACTACGTCGTCACATTCGTGGTCCGTGGGTGATTTTTCCTGGTCACTGATCAATATGGTTGTCTGGAGTGAGTAAAGCCGAATGCTGGTCAGGGGCCTTCCAGGACATCGGTGGCCAAGTCTGACAGGCCCCTTTCATCCCTGAAGATGCTTGGGCTTCGAGCAGTGGGGAGTTGACATGGGTTGGGTTTCTTGCCGGAGCAACAACTTGCGTTGTCTTGTGACTGATGACGAAGGGTATCCATGGTGATGATATTGGAGCCTGAACGAGAGCCGGTGAGGCGATGGCCAACTCTTCTTGTACAGCTGCTATACTCGTATTCGTGCCATGCCATGGATGTAGCCCGCGCTCAAGATATCCAGGAACCGCATCAGCCACATCGCCGTCATCAGAAAGACGCGTGGCCCAGCTGGCTTGATGACGCTTTTAGTTAGGTAGGTACCTTACCCAGGTAATTGCAGGTTCGGTAGAAGGAAAAAAACAAAAACAAAAATAGTCTATGTGCTCAGACCGCTATGGGAATCGGGAAAATCGATGTTCATCATATCAAACCGGACTGTGCTTTTGCTTTGTTGTTTAATAAGTCCGGTTTTGGGACCCTTGCCAGTGCACAGCCACTGTGTTCGATTGACCTCACAGGCCAGAAGGTGTTATTGGCCTCCACTGCTACATGAAGTGCAATACTACCCCTCGTACCGGCCCCTGTCAGGAAATTTGCGGGCTGTCAGGCACGAGGCTAGGAAGAACGGTCTGGTCAGGGGTAGTGTGGGCACGGGCAAGGGTCTTCACCCGCCTACGTCGCCAGCAAGTAGGCCTGTTTACGGCCAAGAAGGAGGGGGACGGGATGCTGTGCCATGAGCGGTTGAGGTTGATCTGGGCAGATGCAGTTTATGGCATCCAAGGGGCTTCAAATCGCCGCCAACTCTGGCCCAGGTTGCGTACGCCTGCAGGTAGCAGCAACTACTTAGGCGGTGAGCCGCCGATTAGGCGACTTTGAGGAGGTGGTCGTCTGCCGTTCAGGGCCCCAAATCCCTTGATGTTCCCCGACCCTCTTGTGTGCTGGTACCCACGGGGGTACATGCCAAGTACACGCAGCGACGGCGGACAAAGACCAATGGAACCAGGCAGCATCTTCAACCCCTCACGCTAGGGCACTTGAATCTAGATCGACAATAATCTAGTAGAATCGCCCGGGGATCGGGGAAGGAACAAAGAAGACGGCCAAGAGAAGGGGAAAAAGCAATCATGTATCGCCGGGCTAGCAGTGACTACTGTTCCATGCACATCTCGAGCATTAAATTTAAGGCCAATAGATTGCGCAGATGCACCGATTGAGACGGGCGCTCGGTACAGACCATGCGGATGGGGAGAATGAGATAGCGTTCGCCATGAACGGCACTGATTGGTGAGGCATCCGATCTGCAGGTGGGAGGTAAGACCAGGACCCCACGAGAATGAGGACAGCCAAAACACTCACCTGACAACCACCACCCTCAAGCCCAAAACGGGCAAAAGCGCAGTGCTATCAGATGTCATCTGTACGGACCAGGGTGGGCTGCAGTACGGGCGAGCAGGTGTCAGGGGCCAATGTATCTGTTGCCTGATCTGGACGTGCTCCATCCCAATTGACTGCCCTCGTCTCTGGGTAAATCAGGGCCTTGGCTCAATGTTGGACGCGGACGTACGTGCGGTTGCCCGGTCGTCGGCTTATGCGGAGGCTTGTTCCATGGAGCAGCTGGCAAAGAGAGATCAGCAAGGAGCACAGGGAGATGATGCATTGAAACATGCAGTGCGAGATACGTAGACGCAAGACCACGGCCGCTGACATGACCCAGAGCCACTCACGTACAGTCGCCCACCACCTAGTAGCTCCTTAGCGGCTGGGCGACCGCCTACCTGCTCCGGACCTATGCGACCTCACGAGGTGCACTAGGCCCTTGCATGCTCGCTCGTACCTGGTGCATGGGCCGACTCGGCTGCGGCGGTTGTGGCCATCGTACCAGCCGGGAAGGGGAAGATGAGGAGAGAACGAGACGGAGGCGATGGAGGGCGAGATACACCAACCGGATACGCTGCCTACGTAGGCAGTTATTATCTGATCCTGGACGGGCTGGTGCGACCCGTAAGCCACCCCAACGATCGATAAGGTGTAAGTGAGAGACGGTGCCAGCATGCTGCTCCCATCCACAACCACCACAAGCAAGTGCTTATCATGCATGTATGTATGTACGTGTGTAGATTAGATAGGACGCAAGTGTTATGTAGGTAGCTTCCGCTCCAAGCAAGTGCTATTCCTCAGGGAGATGAGTGAATGGCCCAAGCGGGTATGGGGAGAGAGCTTGTCGCCACTGGCCAACGACCTCAATGCCGCCGCTGAACACCATCAGTGAGTGCATCAGGCATTGTTTACAATGGATGTCCATATATGTATGCACATGCAGGCTGGACCCAGTCGGTACGGTGCTGCACAGTCCGGGCAGTAAAGCACGCAGAATCTAGGTCGCCTGCATGCACGCAAACAGTAGCGCTAGTGTGACCTGCAGCTGGCTGCACAGAGGCAAAAAGCTGGTGGAGCGAGTGAGGGAAGCGTGCACGCATCTGTGCTGTGCAGGCGTTCTACAGGTAGGCAGGTACCTAGACCGTACCATCCCGGGCGTGAGGCGACGCATTCGGCAATTCCGTCCACTAGCCCGGGTACGTAACTGGTACGGTCCTGGCCCTTCTGTGGCGCGCTCAAATTGAGGTCTTGCCCCAGCACCAGCCAATTTCCGTGGATCCAGCGAGGGTCTTGGGCTACGTACTGTCCTCCGCCCTGCTATTGGTACGCTGGGCCTGTGGCTCCGTCCTCGAGCACCCCCACAGTTTCCACTCCTTGTCGCCTGTCCCAGTCCACCCAGTCCCAAGTCCCGTTTTCTTCTTGTCCATCCTCTCAGGTCCTCTCTTATGACCATCCGCACTTCTCGTAGCCGCTCCGGCAACCGTTGCGCTTCTTCATCTTTACGCCTGGTGCGATTCCAGCTGCCCTCCTCGCTCTCCGAGACTGCGGCTGGTCTTGACCGTCCATTCCTTTGTTAGCCTGCCTGAGTTTGATTGTCGGTGATAAGTGTGTATTTTTTGTTCTTTCAGCCCAATATTTTGTCTACATATTCAGAAGGTTTGTTTGGTTCCTCCCCGAGAACTCCCCCCCCCGCCCTTCAAGGACTGGACTGTCAACAAGAATCATGGTCGCCTTGTTGGAGACCAAGAGTTGCTTCCTTTTAAATATTGGTTTTGCTAAATCTCATCGCAGGATACTTCTACCCTAATTGCCTTCCAACCTGCCTACCGAACCGAACGGAACCACAACACTTCGTTGCTCGCAAACCCGGACGCCTACCGAGCGGAATCTGCCCCCTCGACCCGGTTCTTCCTCCTGATGATCTAATAAATCTTCCAGTCATTCAGCTGTAGTGTTGCCGCAGTGCGGCTGGAGGAAACATGGCTACCACATATGGACCCGAGCCGTTCGCTCACACGGGCGTAAACCCTTTGATCGTTGAGGATTCAATGGCGGCCAATAGCTACTCACGAGCTGCACCTCCGCCAAACCCAACCTTTAGCTTTCCTGCCCGACTCGACGACGAGGACATGCCATCCCCAAGGACTCCGTCAACGCCCACATTCCCTCGCAGGACCGGAAGGCGCCCAATGTCAGCAGTAGAGCCGATGACAGAATCATACCAACTTACTGCTGAGCCTCTTGATAGCAAGTCCATGGGACGTGCGGCCCTCCCTGCGTTCAGCTTCAATCCAGGAGCGTCACTTCCTGCTGATCCAGAGGGTTTGTCCCCTGACTTTTTGCCGTCGTCCCCTCAGCTACCACGGACCATCCCACCTGGCCCTCGTGG